ACTATTAATTATAATGCAATTCAATTATACTAGTATAATTTATTTCCTAGTACTTTCCTATTGCTTCTGTTAAAATTGATAGTTTGTTTTTTTTTCTGTATCTATAACGTACTTCAACTTAATACTAAAGTATAATCAATGGTAGGTATGAAAATATTTACCGTGATACTTTTATAAATATGTTTTCATTAATATTTTTTGATCAAATCGAATGTTTCCATGTTATTCATTATTATTTTTTAGATTACAAAAAATATTATTTTGTTTGTACCTTATCTAGTGTTTTCAAAGAATATATGAGTATTTGTATGCTCTTATTTTTTGTGATCTTTTAGTTTACGTAGACCTTGTGGTTATTATTATTGTTATTTTCGACTATAACCTTGGATTATCTTCTATCGTTATTGGTCTGTTATGTATTTGGTTTTAATTTTTAAGCAGGTAATTTTATAACTATGTTGTTTATGGCTATGGATGTTTGATGATGTACGTGTTATTCGTAAGATATTTTGTCTATCCGTCGATATGATCACATTTTTTTCTGTTGTAATAGCAGTCACGGCTTGACATTACAAGATTAGCTTTTACTACGCTATCGAAAGTTGTGATAGAACTGTAAAATAGTATTACACTGCGAATCGTAGCTGAATTGTATTTAACCTAGACAATGTTTAGGGCTGATGATTTATAGACATGAACTTAAATTATGTTTTGACACAAGTGTTTTTTAGAATAGTTGGTATGAGAGATAACTTTAAATTACTTAACTGACTATGTAATTATTGCAATTATAACATAATTGAAAATTTTTTTTATGAAGTAAGTTAAGTTTTCGTATAATATTTATCATTTTTTTACTATTAAGCATAGGTAGCGTTGATATTCAATAGTGAAGTTACAAGCATTTACGAAATAAATATTTAAATATATCTTATTTTATCTAATTGTTCTTATTAAATACATAACAAATACTATGGAACAATCTTCTTGTATATTATGAATTATAAATTATGTTTAGTTATGTGTCAATATTATCAAAACAAGGCCTTTGCGTATTTGTTTCAGTTCATCTAGAAAATGCACATGCATGTAAAGTGATAATCATTTGGCTCGAATTAACCAAAAAAATTCGGGCGTTGAGTTACGGTGCCAAGTACCCTTTTAAGATCCTTTATTCGATGGTATTTATATTATATTGTTATTATTACAATTAAAATAACATATAATACTTACAGTCAGTTTATATCATACAATGATGCAGCATATTTTTATCTACGCAACAAATACGGTGTGCAACGAATCGAATCGGCAACGTCACTCGTAATCGTGTCGGTATCGAACGATAAATAGACAAAAAATATTCGCTAGTAGGTACTTATGTAATTTATTCGCTCTTTTTTTATACTGTCGTGTTGAAACGAGAACATACTAAAGTATATAAGTATAAATATAAAAATTACTTTTGCTTTTGCAATTCATATATATGAACTTAAAGGTTTGGCATTGACAAGGTGTTAAGTACAACAAGTGTACTACGCAAAAAGCAAAATACGATTTTTCTGCAAACCGTGACGGCTTTTCAGCGATTCATCAGACGTGTTGCAGGTTCTCGATAGTATAAATTTAAGAAAACGATAATCGTATTATAATATTAATCCGTGCACAGGAGGTTAGATATGATTAGATTCGTATTAGATTCGATGTGTATTATAGTTGCATTTCATCTCACAGTTTCGATTTTATCATTCAAATAGCGGCGGTAATCTATAGAGGGTAATCTATTTTATATTATTGTTTTCAGTACATATCAATGGACCATATATCGATGCACATAGGAGCCACTCGTGCTATAATAATAATAATAATAATTGTAATATTTTAAAAAATACATTATTATTTAGATGTTTTTCTCTCTCGATCGTCGATTCATCGTTTTTTATTCACACGCTTATTGGTTTGTATCGTTTGTTTTTATACACTCGCTGCACCGATTTATATTTTCTAAACATATAATATTGAGGAAATGCAACACATTCGCAAATATGTTTCATGAGTTGTATTATTGTTCTCGTACGCATGCATTATTTCGACGCGTCGTAATTAGATTATTACACTATTTTTGTTCTTTCTCTATAATACTATTCTTTTCGTCGCTTTTATTAATGATATTTTCTTACGTACATTTATTGATTGTAACTAAGTCGTAAACAGTTTTAGTTCGTCTTTTTTTTTTCTGTTGTTTTGTGCAGTCGTGTCGTCGTAAAATTGCGCGTATTTAAACACACATAAAAACCGCTGCGTAAACGATAATATTTATATTATTATACCGCCGTGGTAGTTAACCTCGGACGCACTTATTTTAATTTTTTTTTCGTTCCGCCGTAGGCATCCGGTTCGAGCATCTGTACAAGTACTTATGAAGTCTCACGTAATTCGTGTTATTTTTTAAGCAAATACTCGTGTAATAATAATTTAATGATGTTTTTTTGACAATTCTAATTAACCGCGGCGCGTAGGTTTTGTTCGCTACGCGTTTAATATCATTATTACGAAATATGGGGCGCGGTAGGTGAAAAAAAAGGATATAAATAACATTATTCACGATAATCATATGAATATTACAATATACTCGTGGATTGCAAAAGAGTAGCATCTGCCATCGTTCCGATTGAAGCATTTTTTTTTAATTATTTTCTATTGATATTTTAATATCTAAATGTGTTTGAAGCTCAAAGTCATTTGAGATATTATCTCGGCCTATTTCCTATTACGTACTCTGAAAAGAACGTATAGTTTTGGAAAAATGTTGAAATGGAAATATGATACACAGCAATAACTGTATTCGGAATGAAACACCGTGTTTACATATAAAGCAAACGAGTCGCCTTGTCTTGGACTGGAGCAAAGAAATATTGCATTTTCGGACAAGTTTTCAACTCATAAAAATGGAATTCATGACGGCACCAAGTATTTTCATCCAAGACAAGTTTACGTATTATCCTGCTAGTCCGTCTTGGACAGGTTCCGTGACGAGAAAAAACATTTCGCGAGACGCAATATAGCTGTTGTTTTCGAATGTAATACTACACTTCAAGTATACAGCTTCGCGATGTTATAACGGTGCCAAGTATAATAGTTGGCCTCTTAACAGCGACGTCGTGAGGAACGAAAAAACCAACCACATAACAAACGTTGCTTTGACCGTGTTTATAAACGTTGACCAACTTTCTTGCATTGGAATAGGAAACAAAAATGTGTCGATGACAATGTCGCCGGCACAATGGTTGGTGCAAATGTTTCTTGGTCTGGACGCGTTTTATTTTAAAATTTCTTTTTTATTAACACGAATCACCTTGGCGCTCTGTGTGCGATGCGCGCTACCCACTCCCGGTGAACGTCGCACGTTTATTATATCTGCACGCTTGCACCGGGACGAATGATATTTCGCTGGGGCCGAGATGCCAAGGGCACGCCGCTGTCCAATAACACGCGTGGCATTGGCCGTTTGTCACGTATACGGTGTGGAACAAACCAAACAATACCGTTTGTGAAGTGATCGCTCGCAATGGACCGACACGTACCGTACTGGCCACGCAATGTGATATGTCACATGTGGGGTGTGTATCCTTTTACACCGGGTTCATGGTTAACGTTCTTGTCTTCGCATGTCATTGTTATCGTATACTTACGTAAGTCTTACACGCGATGTGTTTGTCGTCCGATGTCGCAATTACTTGGAGCTGCGTTTTGATTTAAAAATCGGATGACATTTGTGTAAAACAAAATTTACATCTTAGAAAAACTGATTCCTTATAAAAATGTCGATGTGGTAAGAGTTACCCATTGGTGTTGGTACGCCTCCGCGAACGCGGACGCTTCCGATAAATTCATTCGTCTTGCCTATCATCACGTTGTGGTGAGGCTAATAGACATTTTGGACGGTTCTGATAAATATTATTCGATGTTCTCGGAAATCCGATTTCCGTAAAATTCGTTATTGCTATTCTGTAAAGTTTTTCTTTTTCGAACACGAAATTACAATACATTTTTCCGGAAGCATAAGTATGTTTAGGTATTACTAGTTTTCGGCGATATGGGGGTGAAATGTGGGGTTACGGAAATAGTTCGCTTTTTTTTTTTTGTAAGTTAATTTCGTGGTCACTATACAACACAAACATAAAGCAATTTATTTGGTATGGCAGCTCACATTACGTGGTTATGCACTATTGCCAACAGCGAATCGATTTAATTAAACTCGAGTAATTAAAATAGTGTTCTCCTTGCACTCGCATGTGGATATTTTTTGGTTTACCCAACTAGGCTTTCGATTTAAGTCGTGCGTTCTTCACAATATTCCGCTTTTCTTCCAGTGTCGACCATTTACGGTAAAATAAATACTATTTTTTAACACCCAATGAACACTGACGAAGTGTGTCGAATAAATGTCAAAAAATGTACCCAATATCGCGTGTTCTCATATTGCTTCAATATAACCGTCGGTGTCACTGTATGTGCCACTACTAGTTCATATGTGACGAAGTTTATTATCACTCTAAAACCGACGTCTTATATTTTCTCTAAAGACATAGTTCACGTATAAAATTGCAACCGCGATCAATCATTATATGTGATATGAACCAGCGGCTCTACGTTTGTTCGAACGAGAACAGTTGTATCTACATACAGTACGACCATAACCATGTCGTAAAATGAAGGTACCCGTTTTACAAATGTACGAAAATTCAGTTTTATGCATCCCAATCGTGAATTACATGGGCACGGAGTACCAAATATATGTGTACTTGTAAATTATTTTTAACTACTTGATCGCTGTGAGAATACAATGTACATAATGTATAAATGTTTTTAAATATACCATACGGTTTTTTTTTTTCGAAAATTTTAACGGCCTGCCATACAAGATCCTTTTCGAGATATTGTTAGTTTTTTATAATATAATTAGTTTGGAAATAAACAATCGTGTTTGTTTTTGTTTGCAGAATCTTGGGTGGACATCACTAGTTGCACTTCCCCGATATCTTTCCAAAGTGCAGGTCGTGTTACTCCAGTTCCGTTTATATCATCCGGCGATGAATACCTGAGATTGTTGAAAGAAGCGCAAAAAGAGAGCAACTCGTCATCTCGAGTTTTGTCTAAAGAATCGTCTAGAAAAGGAAGGTTAGTAGTTTAAATATACACAAATGTGTATATTAACACTTGTATTTTTCAACAATGTTCTTAAATGATAAGTATTGTGTTTTCAGCCCTAAATCACCACCAAATAGTCCAAACAACGAATTGGAAGATGATCTCAGAGGGGTGTATATAAATTATTCCAATAAAGTAAGTTTTCTGAAATCAAATAAAAGAAACTTCATTAAAGACTAACTCATATTTTAATATTTTATAAATAATTTTTATTTAAAATTTAACCAACAATCTGGGTCTTATAATTTATGTAATCTAGTAAACTAATAATTAATTAAATTGATGCATTTTATATAATTAAGTATAAAAATTAATAATTAATAATCTAAGAAACTGGATATTAAATATTGTTCATCATTAATTGAAATGAAGGACAATCGTAGTAGTAAATACCAACTAACTAGTAAATACCAAGTTCATATTTCTTTATCACTTAAAAATTAAATTATAATATTAAATAAATAAATAATAATAGTTTGACAAAAATCTCTGTACCATAAAATATGAATGAAATTGCAAATTTGTGAAGTAAAATATTCTGATTATTAAACTGATAAAAAATAAAGTTATTGATATCAATCTACAGAGAAAAACACATCATTAAAATATTAGTTTATTTTAGCAAAATTTTTTAATTTAGAAAAAAATGAATTCAATAGTCTGCATGAATCAAAATTTATATTTTAATTATATACATTAATTTATACGTGATTAAATTATGAACACTTGCAGCTAACATAGATGAGAATAACACATGAAGTGGCAAGAGTATATTTCTTATCAAATTGCATATAAAAAATACTTAATGGATTATGAGCAAAAGCTTTCTTTAGTTATGAATTCCTTGATAAATTTTTTGTGTCAATAGGTTATCTAAACTTTTTTATAAATAGTCTTTGTTAAAGATTAAAAAATCAATCTTTATGATACTTAAATGTTTTGTTTCAAACTGTATTTAAATTAATAAGATGATTTTTGTGTAGTTATGTATTTTATATTTATTAAGTGTACTTTTCATAAATTTACCTAGACCATTGAATATATTTGAGAATTTTTTTTTATCATATTTTTATATATTATTTTATATATACTCTTATATATATTTCAATGTATAGAATTTTTCTGATTAATGCTTAATCTGTTAATTGCTTCTACAGTATTAAAATTTCTGTATGCACAAAGTATACAAATATTGTTTTTAGTATAGAATTTAAAAAGTTATTAAACCATTTTAACCTTTTACTTAATAATCAAAAAATATTGTTAAATCTTCAATCTTCTTGTTCTATACATTTTTGTTGTATTTTCTTTAGGGTATTTTTAGTTTTTTTTTCAAAATTTCATATTATTATTTCTCATATTTTTCTATTATATTTAATAAAAGTGAATTATATTAGGTAGGTTATGTTAATAACTAAATTCATCTCCCTGATTATTACGTAATTGCAATAATTATTATGAAATGTAAAGATTTTAGTTTTAGTAGAATGGTGTTTTTATAAATGTACTAATTTGGTTTTTTTTTCAGGGTGGAGAATTATACAACTTAGATGATAGGAATACTGATTGGATATGGGATTGGAGTAGCCGGCCTGACCAGGCACCCCCCTAAGTAATTAATTGTTGATTTAAGGATATTAAAAAATATATACTATTGTAATAATATACTATTTTTGTTAAATTTTTAATGTGTAAAGATTTTTAAACTTCTTAAAAACAGTTTTTATACTGTCTTTAGTAACCATTATAATTCTATCAATGACCTTTGCTTAAAATGATTTGACTTATACATTGATGTATCAATACCAGGCCTTATTTTTATGTGCACCCCAACACACAATGTGCACCACAATTGTACAAGTGTGCACTACGGTCTACAAAACAAAAATTAAATAATAAGTCAACTACTAGGAAATATGAGTATTATTGAAATTTTTAAAATTTAATGCATATATATATATATATATTATGTATGTAATATATTCCTTTTTCTAAGACAGTAGCGAGACTAAATTTTCATTTAAAGCAGTAAAATCAAGTGAGCAGTTCAAATTTATACAAATAATAGGGCCTGATTAATACATACAAATTTATAAATATAAATAAAACTTTTACCTATTACCAATATCTTACAAAATTTTATTTTATTTAAATTAATAATGTATTATTTTCCTATATTAATTTTAATAAAATAAAACAATGTGTTATTTTTCTTTATAAAAATTGGAAGTTCATCCATCCTAAAAAAAAGACATTCAGTATGCGCAATGCTAAGGTCGGCAGAGACAGCCTCTTTTCTAAAGAAGTTTTGTACACTTTGTTTTTGACCAATATTTTATCTATATTGCTGGGGGCTGGAGTTGGGTATGAAAATACATAATTTATTAACTATAATTATTATTATGTTTATTTATACTATTACTAATATAATATTATTTTCTTTTAGTGCTTGGTTATGTAAACGAGGCGGTATTATGATGTCCAGAGTGACTTTGGATTAATCAGTCTACAAAACAACATATGCACAAAAAAAAAATAAATAAATAAAAAATAAAAAAATAAAAAATATGGTGTCAATTCATTGTCTTTTAAGTCTGAAATTCAAAGCAGTGTGTTAAATTATTTTTCAAATGACTCCTATAAATTCCTTTTTATAATATAGTATTCATTTTTTAAACAATAAGATACTTATTCTTTGTTTGATACAAATAAATAAAATTTATCTAATATTTTATATACATTAAACATTTAGTTATATTCACTTTTTTCAGCTTATGATAATATTGGTCCTTTTAAGTTTTAAATGATTTCTTTTACTTAAAATTATTGTAAACTTAGTGAGAACCATAGCATCTTTACTTAATGAAGTAATTAGTTACGTTTAATTGTGTATATACTCAAAATAATATGAATTTATTAAAATAAAAAAATTAATATTTTATTTACTCATATTAAGTCTAGTAAATTAGTATTTATTATGATTTGTTAAAACAAAATATCACTAATAAATTATCCATCAAAGCAGTAAGGATTATATATTTAGAACTTAAATGAAGAGGGACCAAAATTTTAAGTAAAACTGAATGAAAGTTACAAAATAAAAGATTCCACTGATGTGTTAGTGAATAATTTTAGTACTGTTGTGATAAGTTAGTTCAACTGATTTGTATTTGTTTCTTTTTTTCTTTTCTTTTTATTATCTTCTATCATATATTTTGTATGTGTTAACCTCAAAGAACATATTTTGTATGTATGTTTTTTAATCATTTAGAAATAGGTTTTGTATTTTTACAATAGCCAGTACACTTCACGGTTGGCAAATAAGTCACTTTGTAAGTTAACTTCATGTTGAATGAGGACCTGGCACATCCTTTTGTTACCCAAATGACTTGATTATTTTGTGGTTATTAATTACTTTCTTACTATTAATTAGAAATGTAAAGTAATGTTAAGTTAATTTAGATTATTATTATATTAAAAAAATATATATATATATATATATACTTATGTGACATATTTCTTTGTATCACAAATTTTATAAATATTATTCATTATATATGTATGTTTTTGATCCAATTGAATATATGAAAAAAATTATTTTGCTTGTGTTTTATTTTACACAAAATATATAGATGATATATCTGATAAATGGAATGATAAATTATTTAGGTACTTTTTTGTAATTACTCATACTTGTATTACATAATATTTTTGATTATTAATTTCATTTATATGCTGAATAACTTGAAATACTATGTTATTTAGAAACAAGTATTTAACATTAAAATACAACCTAAACTATTCTAATCCATAATATTTATACTTATCATTCAATTATGTAAATTATTTAATATATATTGAATATCATTAGTTTTTCTAATTTTAATTTAATAAAAAAAAAAACAATGTTTTCTTGGATGTGTAAAAATAATTTATTATGTTTCGTTGTATATTTTATTTAATTTAAGTTAAATTATTTAAATAATTTTGAAAGAAAACATTTTAGAAATTACTGTCAAAGTAAGTTAAAAATTATCAACTTTAATTATTTCTTTAAATTGAGACATAGTAAACCATCTGATCATCTTAAATGATTTTATTATTTTAACAGATTATGATTTGATATTTATTTACATTAATTTGACAAAACTTATGAGAATAGATCATAACTAATAAGCAAGATTTATTACGTATTAAATATGCATTTTTCTTTGAGATTGATCTAATCATTAGATTCTAATGTGTCAATTTCAATAACTTGAACATGCACCATATCACATTTATTGCTTATATAAAATGACATGTTAAAATTCAGTAATTGTATTTCAATCCTTGATACATATTTAAATTTATAATTGAACCTGTTATTGTCGTTAGAACTAATACATCAACAAAATAATTTAATATTTAATTCTAAATCTATAGGGCACATTAGCTTGGTAGTAAAATGTGTTTAATCGTGATTGGTCCTTTACCATGAATCGATTCTTATATTTCTGTTTTTATATTTAATTCAATCTTTATCTAGAAAAACCTGACGTTACCACTAGGTATATACTTAACTATATGTATTGTAATTTATAATATTGATTATCTCGTAATAGTCTAAATAGGAATTTAAAAAAAAATGCATATTACATTACATTTCTAAATTTGATTAAATATGCATAGGTTCCTACACAAAGTTATTATTTGTTTTTAAAAATGATAAATGTGATAGTAACTAAGTAAAAACAAACTATGACGTCAGTACCTAATAATATTGATTATAAATTTAATATATACGCAATTATGTACTAAGCAATTCTAAAAATATCTTAATTTTGAATTCGGTTGTATAATGAGTATGAAACAAATTTATATGCACAAAAGATTCTCACAATATGCTCCTAAGAATGCACAATATGCTATAAAATATACACATATAATTAAATTAAAAATATTTTCTTTTAAATCACGTAAAAATTTCACAAATATTGCAATACAAAATTGAATCATCGGTTTTAAAAATATCTTTATGCTCCTGTACGTATGTCTGCAAACGATTCCTAACTAGTGTTTTTACTTTAAGCATTATGAGAACGAATAATACGAAAAAAGTCGCTAAACACAAAAACTGGGACAGTTTTACTCGTAAAAATATATGCACGAATGCACACACTAACTGATCAGTTTCCGTAATTCCGTCAAGTTCAAATGTTTAACTCTATCATATGAATTTATTTTTATTAATATAATTTGTATATATGATTATTTTTGGCTAAAAGGTCCGGTTTTCATTTTATTTATATTATGTGGCTGTAAATGTAAAAGTAAAAGGTAAAACAAATATATATACTATAAATAAAAATATGCAAAATAAAATTAATGCTATTTTAATAAGAATGATCTAAATCGGGGTCGATATTCTCATCGGATTTCAAAAGACTTAACCCAATACGTACAGGCATTTGCATATAAATCCGTTCTCTAATTATGCGCATTTACAAAATAGTGATGGGCTTAATACTTAATAAAAAATAATTAATTGAAAATGAATGAAATTACCGTAAAAATTTCACTAAGAAATTATTTCGTGGTTGAATAATACCAAAGTATAGTGCTTATGCTCGTTTTTATCCGTTAAAAATCATTAGCATATCGATCAATGGATAATTCTTCTTAATTTTTGTCTCTTCTGTACTATTGACTCTTCACTGGTTGTCTTATAATCATTGACGGAACACTCCTCCGATTTGAAACGTGTGATCGTCAAATTCTCAAATATTCTTCGTCGCATTCGACCACTTTAAGTCGATAATAATAAAAATAATGAGAATACTCTACAGTTGGCATATTTTTAGCTTTTAGATTTTTACAGTTATATGCGAAACCTAGAATTTATTTCATTCGTGAACGGTAATATTTCAGTAAAATAATATACCTTATTATATTCATTAAAGACTATTAGTTATCGGAATTCAGAGTTTCGTACAGTGTTGTGTGAAAACATACCTTATAACCACCGAACGTTTCAAGTGCATTTAATTCGGTTTGAAAAGGGAAAGCTTACCACCGGATCGGTTTTGGTAAAAATAAATATATATTATAATTATATAATTCATAAGGGTACCTATATACTTAACTTGATCGACCGTAACAGGGTCGTATTTAGGAATTTGACACCAGGGGCAACAATAAAAAACGTCTCGTTATACCAAATACAAATTTCTGTGGGTTGAAAAAGATCTTTCTAAAGAACAATTCGTTGCTGGTGTACACAAAAACATTCCAAGTGCAATGTCAACATAAGGATAGATTGTTTGTAAATCTTTGGATCTATTGACAGCAGTGGCGTATATAGGGAGGGGGTGCCTACAACACCCCCCTCCGAAATTTTTTAAAAAACTTAAAAATTATTTCAAACGTATGTTATATTTTAATTAATGGTGTTTTATGCTTATTTAGAATTTGCGTCCAACGTCAAACCGTTTCGGAACATTCTGTAAATTAAATGTAGATAAGTAACATTGTGTCTTGTCAGTAATTCTTAGATAGCAATGGTAATTTAGTACTGTCAATAGTAGCCCCTCCCCCGAAAATATTTTCTATATACGCCACTGATCGACAGTACTCGACTGTTACCGAGTATGTGTGTGTGTCATGACGCCGTGATTGGCAATATATATTTTTTTTGAGAAAGACTTTTTATTTTGTAAAGAAGTTTCACTACAAAAATATTAGATCATTAAATATTGAAAATATAAAAAAAATTAGCCTACCTCTCATATTCAGCCACCCGGGGCAACAGCACCCTGAAGCTCCCCCCCCTAAATACGGCCCTGGATAGTAACCTATAATGTTTAGTATTACATTATCATTCACGTAATATTTCGTGTCCACAAAGAGAAGGAGCGCAAACATTTTTGAATCAATTTCTGTTATGGTATGTTTTGCCGAAATCCTAAAAATTTAGCCGGAAAAATATTTAGGGAGGCTACAATATCCAAACATTGATTCCAATGACATACTTTGTGTAGAAGAAGGGCAGTGATTTTTACCAAAAAAAATATTGTTGCTAGGCTTTGATTTTGTTATGAAGCTTTCATACTGTTAAAGTTAAACTTCAGCCTAAATGAAGCGGTCCCATCCTAGATTTTCAAAAAATGTCTACCCAAATACCGATTCAATATAGGGTTCGGCGCCACTTCGTGTATCTACGGATTTATGATCAAACCCAATGATTAAATATACGATTTATTGCGTTTAGTAATACCAATTATTCATGTAGATTATATTAATATTTAAATTCAATACCATCATGCAGTCGCAAAACAGGTAGTTCATAATGATAATAATACGAGTTGTTTTCCGTTGCGTATTAAACATTAATTTACGTACGCTCAATGAACATATAAATAGGTAACTAAATGTTAAGGCATGTTAAGCGCACCTATCTGTGAATACGACGGAATAACCAGTTATAGTAACTTTTCACGAAATAATAAAAAAAATGGCAATAAATAATAATAGCGCAGACGCGTACCGTGACCATTACATGTCGAGAATTAAATAAAACAAGGTAGGTTTTGAAAAACATTGTATTGAAGTGTATGCGGTATTGAAGGTAAATACCAACACCTAATACACTTATAAATTATACAAAAACCTAATACTCATACATTATACATGTTCAATTCATTCGACGTGGTTAGCGTTTGATATGCTCTTTCGTATTATTCATTTTATTTATAAAACGTTTCCTTTGATTCCGTTCACTGCACGAGCCCGATAGCGTGCATTACCAAAAATAAATCGAACAAAATTTATAAATCTTATACTATTCCAGTGGTACCTACGTAGGTATAAGATTCTTCCTATCGTGTTGAGATGCATTTCAACGAATATTTCAAATCTGCTGTGTTTAATATTGCATTATTTGCGTTGTGTTTATTTATCACATCATCCCAACAAACAGTGAAGAAACTTGACTTGGACGAAGGTATGTGGGTATTATATTTGTGTATTATTTTAGTATAATAATTTAGTGACGTAGGTGTTAATGTATTAGGTATTATTAGGAGAGTTATAGTCAAGGCTGAACTTGTGTTAATGTCGTCACCGGTAAACGTATCCAACCTTGTCCTCGGAGTTCAAAAATAATTTCATATCAATTTTTGATATTTTCCAAATTGAAAAATGTTACAATTATTGAGGTAGAATCTATTAAAAATACTTATAAAAGAGAAGGGGGAGTATAGGCGTATTAGAGTAAATTTTTTAATAATAAAAAATAATTTTATCAGTCAATTTTTGTTTTTAAAAATAAAATTATATTATGAGTTTAAGTCATTACTATATATATATTAATATTAATATATATAATAAATATTAGTACTATATATTAATGTAAATCATTTTTGAATTTTGAATTTTTCTATTTTTTTGTAAATTTTATGATTACCTATATTTTTAATTTCTTATTCAAACGCAATTATTTTTCTGAGAACTTCGATTTATTCAAATCGAACGTCGAATTTTTATTAAATCATTCAGAAGTATTTAAATTAATTACAAGTATACTGCTAAAATATCATATATAGGCATTGTATATTGCATTTATTTCAATTTAAAAATACCTAACAATTTATTTGGTATACAATTTTTGTGAAATATCATTTTCAAAGAAAAGTTCTGCGCTGGATGAGGAATCATAAAGATAAAAAAATTGTTAAAATATTATAATTCTTTCAAAAAAAAATATGCCACTTGAAATTATTTAAAAGAGTTTGTTTCCAAAAAAAAAAATTGATACAAAAATACAAATATAAAAATTGATCGAAAAAATAAATTTATCATTAAAAATATCACACTTCACGTCTGCACCAACGATAATATTAATTATTCGTTCTTTACAAATCAATAAGCAATGGAAACTTTGTACCGTAAAGACCATATTGAATATAATGTAATATATACCAAATCCAGTAACTACGAGTATATGGTATAATAATGTATGACTATGATATTATATTTTGATCCAACGAATTAACAAAGCTAAAAAATAATTTCAAGGCAATTATTTTGAGCAGCATGTACCCGTAAAACAAAAAATTTTGTTGCAAAATTTTAAGTCGTAAAACAGTTTATACATTTCATAGTATTTCATTATTATATACCTTATGAATTTCACCTATGAAGTTTAGATTTATAAATATTAAATTATAATGTTGGTTTATTATCAACCCCAACTATTAATTTCTAGATCCACGTGTAAATTATTAATAAAATGTACACCAGGAAATGCTCTGAACGTTATTATCAAATTATGTCTTATCGATGTTTACATGTTATTACTTGTTTAGGTGTTATATGTCGTAAAAGCCAGGGATTAGAACCTGACTATGTGTGCAGTCGTCCTGAAAACTGTGACTCCGTGAAAGATCTTTTTAAAAATCAAACATACCCCGACATATGCTCATTTGACGGATTAAAACCAATAATTTGCTGTGTACCGGGCAACGGAAAAACATTCCTTTTGAACCGTACAAAGATTGAAGATCCAATTATTGCTAAAGAAAGTAATATATGCATTAATTTTACCTACCAAATTGATTAATTTATTAAATATTATTTTTTGATATGTATGTTAAGATCTATGATGAATTAATTTATAGAGTGCCAGCAGTATTCAGAATTATTGAACAAATTTTCAAATGGACCTTCTGTAACCAAATTTAAACAGATGAAAAGAAACACTGATTTAAATCAGGTTCAAGAAAAATACTTTATATAGAAAAATTATTATAAATTAATAAAGAATGATTCATCATAATAGTATCTTAAATAATATATTACAATAATTTGAACATCGACTTTTAAAAAAGTATAGGCATAAAAATCAAATATATATTATATAAATATAATCTTTTATCTTTTAGATGTCATCAAGTTCTATGAACTTTAGTATTGCGACGAATTTACCGCCTACAACTACAATTGTTGATGAGACAACAAAACAACCAAGTATTCCACCGAATGAGAATGTACTTTTTGTGGTCGGCGGTATAGTGGCTACACTAATGGAATTTCCACATATGGTTAACCTAAAACACAGTAGTTAGTTGTTTTAGTAGCTCTTTTTTTATATACATTTCTTTTACAGGCGTTATTGGGTTACGGTTTGACAGCAGAGGAAAATATATGGGGTTGTGGAGGTTCCTTGATAAGCGAAAGATGGATTTTAACGGCGGCTCACTGTCAAAAAATGGGTTTATCGTAATTTACTATATCACTAAAATTAAATTTCTGTCACCAGAACGAGTAAAGAAATATATCAGCAATATTTTCATTTAAAGGACTGTGGCACGTTGGGCTCGCCTAGGAGATTTAAATACAATCGTGAACACGGATAACGCTCAACATAAAGACTATCGAATCATGGAGCATGTGCTACATCCGGATTATAAACCACCTTCGTTGTACAATGATATAGCTCTATTCCGCTTGAAAGAAGTTGTTGAATTCACCTCTTATATAAGACCGATTTGTCTCAACTTCGATCCAATGTTGAACCCAACAGTGCAAATAGCTACAGGCTGGGGAAGGACGTCTACAGGTTATTTCTTTGACCGTCTTAGGCGTGTGTGAATGCGACTAATTAAAACTACTTAATTTTATATAACGTTTTTAGACGGACCAACCAGCGCAGATTTGTTAAAAGTAGATTTAACAACTATACCTGCGGATCAATGCAACAGCAGTTATTTTGGGACTTTTGGTCAAAAATTAAAATTTGGCATATTAAATGACAGTCAAATGTGCGCAGGTTCAATCGATGGTGGAAAGGATACTTGTAGTGTAATAATGCCGACCAGTTTTACAGTAAAATAGTGTAAATTAATATGCATTTTACAGGGCGATTCTGGAGGTCCACTTCAAATTAAAAATCCCGAATATGTGGGTATGTACACTCAAATTGGAATTACATCGTTTGGAAAATTTTGTGGTGATAAGGACGCACCCGGGGTATACACTAGAGTATCAAAATATATTTCATGGATTGAAAAAATCGTTTGGCCAAAAATATGAAAAATACCATTTATTGCCATTGGTTCTTTATTTAATAATTTATGTGTAATTTATATTAAATTAATAAATAATGACTTAAAATTATGTTCTAAACTTTAATAATCTTACCAGAATGACACTTATATAATTATGTATTTAAAATATCTAGGAAGTACTGTCAAATCAATATTCAAAGCAGTTAAAATAATTAGCTCATAATAGACTTTTTTCTATAATGAATTGGTCATCTACATAATAACAAGTTTTAATATAATAATTATTTAGGCCTTAATACAACTATAAAAACAATACCTTATAAGGTAATAAGGAATGCGATGAATACATGAATACGTATACGTATTCATGAAAATTATACTCCTTAATCACGTTAAGAATTGATATTAATTAATATTAGTTTTTCGTTCGGAGATGTATTATTCCTACTGCCCTATGAATTGATTTCCTAATGAATAACCACTCGTATATTCACCATTGATTTCTATTAATCTACCAAAGTTCAGTAGCGTGCAGCTTCTCATCAAAATACGTAAATAAAATTGTATTGATGGGCATAGTGACCCAAACTCAATAAACCAAACAGTTCTTGAAATCTTGATATTATGCAACGATCACATCATTCTGATTACATATCTAAAAAAGGTCGAGCTATTTTACCGCGATGAATTAAGTTAAATATATATATATACATATATAACATTAAACTAATGGTACTGTGTATGGTGATTCAGCTTAATGTGTCAAAATATTATTTTATAAATGTATATTAATATTTATACTAAAAGGCATACTTATTTACCCATCATAGTTTTAAAACGGGTCAAACTTTCATGAGCCGTATTTTCTTGAGCTTTGAATATCGTTTCTCCGAAACCAACGGCAGTCAATTTATAAGGAAGTATCGTAATTTGAATAGAAGAAAATGTTTTGCCTAAAAACATAAAGGTTATATTACGATTTAGTTACTCACGATGAATATATGAAAATTAAAATTTTTGAATCGTACTTATCATAAAAGTACAGATTGCACAAATGTCGTATTTTATTGATAGCTCTTCTTCTTCTACAACTCGTTCCAAAAGCTCGATACTAGAAGGAATTGTAACTAAGCTTATAACTTTCATTTCCTACGAATGAATCAAAATTATACACATAAATTACATGTTACGTTGTACCTACATAAGGTTGAGATTAGATAAAATGTGTACGAATATACCTTCACCCGAATTATTCGATAGTCGAAGTAGATCGGCGAGTTTTTCGGTAAAACATAACGATTTGTTTATTGGTGGCCTGTGGATTTTATTGTGTTTGAGAATATCGGCAGTAAAAACTTTGGATCTTTGGATCTATGGATCTGCGAACGTATTGAATATAGAAACTTTGTTGACTTTCGCCACTCTTTTTTCATAGCTCAAATTAAGTACTGGTTCGTCAACGATAGTGGAGATAGCTGCTTCATAGAGTCCAGAAGATATTTCGTTTCCCGTATGTTTGTTAAAAGGAACATTTTTTTCCGATGGTATGTTATTACTGGTATAATTTTTTCATTATGATACATCAGTAGCGGCTTGTCTTTTGGCTTCTTTTTTTATCATTTCATTTACTGTTTAATTAGTAAAAATAACATTTATACATAGAATACATAGAACAATTAGGAATTTAATTTAAAATGCTAATCTTCGATTGTGAATACTTCAACTGTGCATACTACCATATAAGTATAAGTTTTACTAACACCCTCTTTAAAAAATTCATATTTTGGTAATATTCAATTCCGAGATATACAAAACTCTTTATTTATCTTTATTTTTATTTTTATATACTTTTTATCGTTTACTGTAGTTTTAACCATTTTGAAATGCTTTTTTTCTTGGACGATTTTAACTCATCATGATTGATGATTTCGGTGGTGGATCGGCAGCAACTTTTTCTAGTGGAAGTACAAATCAAATCGTAATTTGACGCGTCAAGGCTAGTTAGTTCTACCTCAAGATCAATCGGGGTAATCTTCTTAGTTGATATATAACTAATTTTATCACCAAAGGTCAAAGTTGACTCGTTTCTCGTTTGCACCTGCTGGACCTTGTTGGTTTCAGCGGCTTTTTGTACAACGCTATCAACGACAGTGGTTATGACCGGTTCTTAATTGTGTTCAGTCGACTTAATAACACTCAAATCATTCAATTTACTGTAGACACTAGTATTATTTTTGACTTTCGCAGAATCATTAATTTCGTTAATAACATTAGAGCATTCGTTGTCACAATTAAACGACGCCATTGGACAATGCTTGAATTCTCTAGCTAATTTAGATTCCAAGTCCTTAATTTTATTAAACATTTCATTGTTTTTCTTTTTCAATGATTTTTTTTTCTTTGATCATATGTCAAATTTATTTTGAAAATTACCATACTTCAATTGGACATCTCTCGGCGTATTATCTAAAATAAAAACTTTATATTTTGTATTACTTTGTACATTGCTTTAGAGAACTTATTATCTTTCAAGTTTATAATTTGGTTAGGTTATACTTTTTAATCTTTCAACCATGTGTTGAAACTGTTCATACTTTTTTTTAAAGAAGCCAAGCCTAGGTCCTTCATTTTAATTCGTATTTCATAATCAACTGAAAAGGAATAATACGTTGTTAAATTACATTAGCTGACATTAACCGAAGCGTTGAAATTATCACGACCGTTGAGACGGACGATAAGGTATGCAGGAGTTGACTTACATGCAAATCTGTTGGGGATGACTGTCCTAAATAATACATTCTTGAATGCGAAGAATTTTTTGATGTTCCTGATGTAAAGAGTAGGAGCTAGCTTGCAGGGCCGTCCCAAAGGGGGATTTTGGGGGATGTCTCAATCCCCAACAAAAACACCAGTCGGTAGTCGGACTTGTTTCATTATAGTCTGGAAGGACCTAATTTTACTTACGAAAAACAAATATTACATACTTCGTAATACAGTGTATACACGAATAAAATTTATATAACTAATTATTATATTAAATATATATAATTAAATTTTCAATTTTAAGAACATGCGATACTGACACATATATACATGTTAAAAAGTAAAAATAAGACTACATACATACTACATACATTGAGTAAAAATATTTTAGTCAGCATTTTTCATTTTATTCACCTCCCCTTGATTTTCATATTTGGGATGGCCCTGCTAGCTTGGTCTGAGGAGGGAGATGAAAGTACAACAGTGTTATCATGGAGCTGCGGAATCGCATCAAATACAGAGTCATCACTAGGGTCAATTGAGGCAAGGACAACGAAACAGTTAGGTAAGACGAAAGTTTTGGTATTTTCCCCTTCTTGAAGAGGAGAATTTGAAGTTCTGATTAATATTACTTTTGATGACCTAGACATACGAGGCGAACTTTTATCGGAACAAACCATAATATGATTTACGTTGAAAACGATTATGCAATTAATATAATTAAAATACAGATAACGGAGCGCCCTTAAGAGCGTGTATTCATAGTGAATGTTATCGCCAGACTCAACATTTTATGTTAAATTTGTTTTATTCTTGAAAAAAGTTTTAAGATTTTATGATTTTTATATTCATACTAGCTGACCCAAAAAACGTTGTCCTATCTTAACTATTAATATTAAATTCGAATGGTATAATTAATAAATAATAACTATTGTAAAAACATAATCTTATGTATTAAAAGAATTTATGAAAACTAAAATCAATCCGTCTGGTCGTTCTATACGGCCAATTTCCTTCTTTTTTATTTTAAATTAAAGGTATTTAGACACAGATATGTTATCAATCATTGAAATTTACTCAACTCCCACCAACACAATCTTCCCTGTACATTTCTTATGGGACACAATCACTCAAGCAACATTCGAATTCTCATAGCTCCTCTTCTAATGAATGGATCTTGATCATTTCACTCTCAGAACTCTCAGTGGATCAAGCTCTTTCTTTTGAGCTATTAACTGCTTAAATTAGTTGAGTTCGAGGAAAGTTATTCTTGAACAATTAACTTTACTATCAATTTTTTCCAAATACTGCATTTTGATGTTCTTACCCAGTGACATAACAACAAACAACTCACAAACAATACTAATATTATTACTTGTATTAGCTAATATTGTCCGGAAGGAAGCACTGTAAAATGATTTTATGTAATAATTACACGCTCTCACACATAGTCTATCCTAATGCTGCGGAACATATATTTTAATAAACACTCTCTGTCATTTCGATATGTCTTTAAATTTTCGATATCTTACTCATTTATCGATTTGTTAAAATGTGTTTATGTATTAATTCGATTGCACTTATACTTTTTATTGTATAAATAAATTATCTATTGGGAATTTTCGCAATGTGTATACTAGATAATGAACCAAATATTATTATTTATGATCACCAAGAAAATGTTAATTGCGAGTGTCATATTAAAGATAAGAAAAATTATAATCGATGAGAAGAGTAACTAATAAGATATAATACGGATCTATAGTAGTGATGCACAATGATGTCGTATTCCGATATCGATATAGTTATCAAACCAATTTTCCAATATCGATATAACAAAAATAGTATTCGATATCAAAATACGACATCGTAGGTAAATATCTAATATTTTATCGATATCGAAAAGTGATATCAATTCGTTGCAATTTGAATTTTCTATTTTTTATTTATATAAGTTTTGTCAGTGAATCAATTTCAAAGAACGAACACTAACGATAAAGACCTTACAATAGATTTCTATAGCTGTGATCATTGGATTTTTACAATTAGTCTCGTTTTTTCCATCGTCTACGTTGAGTTAATATATCGTCTCTGATATTTACAATTAAATGACAACTATGAGTTCTATTAAAATTGAGATGCAAATTGAGAATTATAGTTTTAAATTTTGTTTGTACAGATTTTTTTTCAATATATATTTTAGTTTGGGATGATTTGACCGTGTATTTTTTTACCTTATTGAACTGTGTAAGTTGTTTATAACTGTTGAATTTTTTTCATACTCAACGATTTAATAGTAAATAGTATAATAATAGTAATAATAAGTATCTATAATATATAAATAATAGTATAATAATAAAAATTCCCATTATCTTCAATATACAAAGTTTATGGATTATATAATATACCTATAATGTATAAAACAAACTGTAGTATATTAACAGTAATTTGTTGGCATTGAGTTAAACTATAATTATAATAAGAGAACAGATAAAATAAAATAATACCCCCCAAAAAAATTCCTGGATACGCTCCTGTTATGAACAAATAGAGAATGATATAATATTCAAAAATGATAAAGAGGTGATCATCTATTGATTCTTCTTCAGTTACATCTATGTGTTATGGCAAGTTATATTAAACATATTATACAATTATACGTATTACCATTGGTTATAAATACTAGTATTTATAATCAATGGTATTACACATACAATTATATTGGCAAATGGGGCGATTTTAGTCGATCCCCACCGTTTAAAATCTCTCAGTATGTTTAAAACGCTACCAACTCAAACGAAAACAGTTATTAAAAAGTACTTTATCGACACATTACACTCTAATAGCAATAAATAATAGTTACATTTATAATTTGCAGAAAATAACCGGTTTGACCTGAGACAAGTATTTTGAGAGAAGTATTTTTCAAAAGTGTATAGCCTTGGTAATGCCATGTATAAAATTAAATCATGTGGGATATACGAATAAGATGTATAGTATACACCAATTGATATGTATTTCCCCCTGGTTTTTGAAAATGTGAAATGTGGTGGGGTAGTAATATACTGTAATAGCCACATGAATTGCTTATTTTCATTATTTTATATAGTCCTATCACAGTTCATGTGGCTATAAAATAATAATTTTAATTTTAAAATGAAAAACATCCATTATTTTAAAATTATACTAATGTTTACTATATTATGTTTTTTAATACCTGGTCACGCAAATATATTATATTTGGATGAAGGTAAGATTTAAATACTTGTTACTATATTTTTTTTTTTTCGTGTTTGAACATTTAACGCATAATTAATAATAAGATCGAAAGGGATAAAAAACAACCTAACAGTTAACAATTTGTTTCTACATAATATATTAAAATAATCTTAAAAATACAAAAAATATAAGCATATTACAATTTTTTTTTTTATGAAACATTGACTTTAATATTTATTATGGACCATAATTTATGGTATACCGGCAGTCAGTGGTGGATTTACGGAGTGGTCTATTGAGTCTGAACTTCCCCCCAAATCCTGAGTTTAAGCTGTTGATATAAATATTATTTGAAATATTATTTGTTTGGAATTCTCGAGTTTAAAATTCTACGTTATATTTTTTTCGTTTATATATGAATTAAATTTTAAGTAATAAATAATTAATGATTAAATATTTTTGTCTAAATATATTACAAAATAATATCAAATGACTCATCCCCAGAAAAAGTTATAAAAACCGTTACTGTCTGTAGTTCAAAAATATGGTCTACTATTAATTTAATAGTAATAAGTGTTCAATACAATTAATAAATAAAACTTTTTTTCAATCATTTTGAAGTATTGTATTTTTATTGTATTTTTAAAAAAATTTGGTTACTTTTTTACACATTTTATTCTGTAAATTAAAAATTATTGTATTACAATTTACAGCACACATACGTTTTAGACTTTACACTTTTTTGATTTTTGAAAGCAAATTAATAATTACTAACACTTGTAAAATAGTTTTGGTCTGAAGTTTTACACAATCCCTACAACAGGTGAGATGTGCCCGGGGGACAGTAGAAATTCCGCTGTCTGCAAATTACCAGAAAACTGCCCATCATTAGAAAAGGATATCAGACGTCAAAAGTTTCCGCAGTTGTGCTCATTTATTGGAAACAAGCCAGTGGTATGTTGCTCGACCACTACAAGTTATACAGAAAATAGACCAGCTATAAGCACTACCAAGCCGAACATCGCGAGTTCATACTCGGCTGCAGAGAGTACGCGTTGCAAATTTTCTCATATAGATATACGTGCATTGGCAAATGTAAATTCCCCTAAAAAATTAAATAGTAAATTGCTCTAATAGTAAACTCCCCTAAAAACATTTTGCTACCGTATTACACTAACGTAAATTCCCCTAAAAACATTTTGCTACCGTATTACACTTACGTAAACTCCCCTCAAAAAATGTTGCTATCGTATTACATTTACGTAAATTCCCCTAAAAAAATTAGAATCATTTAGCGTAACCCAGGGGACACCACGTGGAGGCAGTTTTAGTTATCCTCCAAAAATATTTGTATTTTTAACTGCATATATATTTCTTTATTCATATTTTATAATTAGAAAAATTAATTTTTATCTTTATACTATTAAAATTATTAAAGTTGATTTTATTATGTTGATTACTTTTTGATGGAGTAATAATATGAAACGATTTTTATATAATGAAATGTAGTAATTTTTTGTTCTTTATAATTTTCTATTAGCTGGTTTAATAATTGTTGGCGTCTTTTTAACTTATTATTATTGCAACTATTTGGTTTGTGTATGTTTATATTTTTGGTACAACAATTCGATTTATACTTATCGTGAGTTTTCAAATATGGACTAATATAGTTTTTGTACTGACCTCTTCAATTATCAATCATCAAAAAGTACAAAATTTAATACAATACCAATAATTCATAGCCATAATAAAATCAATAAAAAGTATAAGAGACCGTGAAATGTTTACTCATAATGGTTATTTGTATATTTTTTTAATTATAAAATATGAATAAAGAAATATATATGCAATTAAAAATACGAATATTTTTGGAGGATAACTAGAACCGCTTCTACGTGGTGTCTTCTGGGTTACTCTAAATGGTTCTAATTTTATTAGAGGTGTGGTGACGTAAACAACGCACCGCGAATCGTCCAAGTTGTTTACAATATTGTCGTGGATAAGGGGAAATCCCATGTTCTAGAATATGCGATGATTATCTCGTTAAGGTAATTTCGAGAATGTTCTAGACCAGTGGTGGGCAAACTTTTTTAATGGGGGGGCCACAAGGTTTAAGAAATTCTAGAGCAGGGCCAGGTTAGATTATAGATTATAGAAAATATGCATTTTGTGTTAAAGATTTGAATCATAATATTATAAAAATATTACAGCATTACAGAAAAATGTTACAAATTACCTTTTACCTTAAATAATAATTAATTTAACTTTTATTCGGAAGCTCAACCATGGTAGGCGTGTGAGACATATGGAATTGTTTTTGATTTTCCATAATATTTTCGAAAGCAGGTTCCAGCTGTGATGAAGCAACTTTCAGCAGTGCGAAAAGGTGTTCATTAGTCAATCGGTTTCTGATTGAGTTTTTCCGCAATTTTATGGTCGAAAAAGTTTGTTCGCACACATAAGACAACGCAAACATCGCCATAATTTTTTGAGCGTGAGCAATTATTTTGGAAATTCGGCTTTCTGCAGTGCTCTATAAAAATCTAGTTTTGTGGAATTCAAGAACAATTGCTTTAAATCGGTACTGCACTGCATTTCTGCAGATACATTTATATATTTAAAACTATTTTTTTCGATCATTTTCAGAATATTTCGGGAATTTTTTTCCTAAATTAAAATTATAATATAAAAAAATAAAATATATAAATTATGAGAAATGCTGGAAAACCTCTGTGACCCTAATTTGGGGGGCCATTACTATCCATGGCGGTAGACCCTCGGCGGGCCGGATTAAATACTTTCACGGGCCGTACTTTACCCATCACTGTTCTAGACAATCGACGCTGATATATGTTATATATACCGGCTGGTCAGACGCTCAGTCAGTCAGTCCGTGAGTACAATCCGCGACACACCGTGAATTACACTCCGCTACATATTCGGCAATTCCTCCGCAATTGTAACGCGTATCGATATTTGTACATACATATTTATATAATATAGTGTCTATTTTAATTAAATTAAAATGTGAGTGATTTTTATTACTTAAATTCCACAGAGGAATTTACGTTAGTGTAATACGGTAGTAAAATGTTTTAGGGGAATTTACATTAGTGTAATACGGTAGCAAAATGTTTTTAGGGGAGTTTACGTTAGTGTAATACGGTAGCAAAATATTTTTAGAGGAATTTACATGTGCCCACCTGCATAGCATGCGCACGGGGTGGTCAGTGTAAGCACTTGCCTACGCTGTGATATTTCCCTCACTCACCAAAATATTCAATATTATCACTATAATAAATAACGATATTATGTTCTACCACTTTGAAACGTCCGTAAACGATAAATACATGTATATGAATATTGGAAAAATATAATTATTAAGTTAAATGAAGTTACCCCATCAAAATGTGTTGTTAATATTAAATGTTAATGTCTTATGTATGACTACCCTGTCAGTAATGCCTGCGCACGCTTATGTATACGAGTACGTATAATATATTGTACATCTATTTAAAAGTAAAAGCATCCAAAGATCATGAACGCATTAGTGAGAGTGGGGAACCCCCCTCAATTAGGGAAATAAAAGGAGCAATTGCTCCATGAAGCAATAGTAACGTATCTATAAAGGAAGGCAAACGTTTGATTAAAAATATATTATGAAAAATATATTTTCGACATTTTTTCTACTATTCAAAATTAAAAGTAAAAATACATGCTTCTTATAAATTATTATAAAAAGCAAAATTCAAATCTCAGAATTAACTATCCTATCAGAAATAAAAAAATATTTTATTATATGTTTTTTTCCGTTTTCGTGATACTGAAAATATTGTTGTTGTTCATATATGAGAGAAATGATTGAATGGACATTGGATATTAAACTATTAGATGTTTTACTGAAACAGATAAATATCTAAGTCTTAACTTTATTCTGTAATAATTACTATTTATTATCGTTTGTTTATATATATATATATATATATATTAAATATTAGTTAAATCTTTATATAAATACAGTTAACTCTTGATCTCGTTCCTCATAAATGCTTATAAGTATTGTCCTAAGTACCTTAACTCTTAATAATTTATATGGCTTTGTTCGCACGCATAAAAAAAAAAAAATTTATTTTAGAAATATATTGCAATTTTCTGAGTTTATTATCCACAAGCGTTTGCCAATGGTTGAAAAAAACTACGACAACAATTCTAAAGGGACTAAATATTATTTTAATCTCAATTGGTCACTATTCAGTCATACCAAGTCTTCCAAGTTTTTTCTATTTGTCTCATTCCTGTTTCGCCCATGTCCTATTATATTTAAATATATGTACACGCGATTAAATAAACGATTTTAAATTGTAATAATAATTTTCCATTGATAACTTATTTATGTTCAATTCGGACAGTGTGTCGTCAATACTCAGAACTAGCGTACGCGAACATGAATATTCCTTGGTCCACTACAGGAGAACGCAGAAAAACATTGGATTGTTACAACGTGATGCTATTAATCGTCGGTGGTACCAGTGCCAAAGCAAAAGAGTTCCCACACATGGTGAATAGAAAACGAATAAAAAAAATAAAAAATATATACACGTGTAAAAGAAAATATGACAATGTAATCGCTCATGTTTTCCCTAGGCACTTTTGGGTTACGGCGGCCGAGGTGACGGAGACGAGAAGACTTGGAGCTGCGGCGGTTCATTGATCAGTAACAGGTGGATCTTGAGCGCTGCACATTGTGCGATTAATAATTCTGGGTGAGCATGTGCAATAAATGACTCGGGATGCATATTTATAAGGATGGTGATACCCAGGACCATTAATATTGAAGATTCCTTGAGTCAAATTATCAGGTATTTGATTGCTTTGGTAATGACGTAGTCCAGATATTAGAAGCAAGGAAAACAAAATATATATTGGTACAGTGGTTTATATTTATAAATTGTTTACACCATATAATTATAAACATAACAGCTAAACGCTTTTACGGAAAAAAGTCGGACAAAAAAAAATTATACAAATAATATCAATGTTAAATAACAGTTATATTAAGAAACGCCAAAATAGATTAACAATTATAGGTTAGCGAAAATAATCCGATAACGGCTACGAGCTAAAGTATCATACATGATATTTTTTCAGGAATCAAGTCCAGACAAAATCATATATTCATATTTTCATTAGGTTTTTCATCGAAGTCCATATAAACTAACGGAAAGATTTATAATCCATTTTTCTGATACCTAGTCGAAGATACGAAGATAGGTTGTGATCGATATCAATTCTCCACCCTCTGGCCGAGATAAAACTCCTGTTGGATACACGTCCGGGCATATCGCGTTTTTATTACATTATAATCGCCGACGACAATAATGTTATTAATAATTATAATAATAATAACAGTTGAGGGTGTGATGAATGTTCAAGGAAAACGGTGAGCTGGGCGATTCTTGGCGCACTGAACATCTCGGACTCGGACAGCGCCAGACCGAAGGAGTACGAAATCGTAGAAAACATTGTGCACCCCCGCTACAACCCGTCCTACGTATACAACGACATAGCGCTATTCCGTTTGGGGTCGGACGTGGAATTCTCTGCGTACGTGCGCCCCGTCTGTCTCAACACAAACCAGTCGTCGGTACACTTCACAGCGGCGTCGGCAACCGGTTGGGGCAGAATCAGACCTCGTAGGTATCTCGGACGCGTCTCGGCCCGTCGGTTCCGCCACAGCGGTCCGAAACACCACCGTAGAAGCGATTAATCTTCTAGCTCTACGTATCCAACACTCGTGAATCCTATCACCTATATACCCTCGTGGTCCGCGCGAGTAAAGCAATCGAAATGGTGTGCTCGCAGAATATTAAACGATATTATCAAATGGCGTACAAACGATTCCATATAAATTTCGAACGTACCACAGTTAGCTAACCTTACATGTCATATTCGTGTTTTGATTTTTTCCGATGGCATAAGTTATAATGTACGTGCGGCAATACACTTGACAAGCTTAAAATGCGTACACCAATAATTGGTCATAATTATTATAACAGGTGTACAATATTTTACAGGGTTTTCTGTGACGTACAATTTTTCCTATGACGTTGAATAATACATCCTTATATCAATTACAAATTAATATAATCGCTTTTTTTGCAATTCATCTCGGTCCACTCTGAACAAGCTTGCTTCTCGGTAATTGGTATATTTTTCTTCAAAATCTTTCTGTGCATGTAGTTCAAAAAAAAAAAAAAATTAATAAAATTAAAATTACAATTAAACCTGTAGGGGTGAGCAGTGTTATTACACTTTTGACGTATTGAATTTTTAGAATTTTTCTTTTATTATGATCATAATTGTTGTAAGACCATTTTATAAAGTAACTTTCTAGGTATATTTTTATGATAATAAAGTGAAAACAAATTAATTTTCAATACTAAAAAGCCCTTTTCAAGTCACTCAGTCAAAATGTAACAACCTTCCCCAGGGTGGAATAAATTATAATAATTCAGAGGCACATTGTTATAGTCTACATTTTAAAATAATATTATCCAAAATAAATAAGAAATCAACAATAACAATTACTAAAGATAAACATATTTTATAATAATACATACCTATACCAAGGTATAAAACAAAATATAAAATATAATTAATAATTAATTAAATTAATATAATAAACAATTCTTCATTTTATTTAAAAAATTTTTACTATGCAATTTAAAAATTTATTAAAAATTTAAAAAAAAATCGACAGGTACTTGACCACGATCTGTCGTTTTAATATAATTCCGGACCATTTTAATAATAATAAATGTATAAATTATAATTTATAGTATAAATATTTATTTTTATCAAGCCAAGTCGTTACATTAACAAGTAACAACATGTTCCTGTCGAAATGTAATAACATGCCTCATATCGGTTTTTTTTCTAAGATAATTTATTTTTTGGAAATTAATGGAATTTAATTATGTAGTTAGAATATGATGAAGTACTATATAATGAGACATTAAGTGACAAAAAAATCATACCTTATGTTTAGACGTTGAATACGTTAAAAACGCAAATTGATGAAAACAATTTACTTTTGATAACAATAAACAGACTAATGTCGTTAATTCTTAACCCTGATAATATATACTTGATATATTCTTAAAACATGTGGAATTAATGATTATATAATTTGTTCGTTCAGTCTCCACAGAATTACAATGATTGGAAGTACAAAATATCTTTATTGTAACAACGTACCCGTGTAACTGACTTCACTCTCCCCTACCACTACTAAGATGCGTTATATTAATGTAATATTGTCTTTTATCTCCGGTCATGACATTTGTGTAGATGGCCCGACCAGTCCCGACCTATTGAAAGTAGCCTTGAAAGAAATAGACATGAAAAAATGTAAATACAGCTACCCTCCAAGCTCGAACCCAAGAATAAACCTCGGCATACTCGAAGACAGCATGATATGTGCGGGCGATTTGAAAGATGGCAACGATACTTGTACGGTGAGCGGAACAATTGATGCCACGTATAATAACCATTACAATAATAATAATAATTAAAAATAGTTGCACTACGATAATAGTATAATAATTTACACATATATATAATACGAACGCGTTTCGCAGAAATATTATTTTACTACTTTACCTAAACACAATAACACGACGTTATTTCTACGCATAATTTTGCAGGGCGATTCCGGCGGTCCGTTGCAGGTGCGAAACGCCGATTACCCATGCATGTACGACCAAATAGGTATCACGTCGTTCGGGAAATACTGCGGTAGCAAGGACACACCGGGTGTGTACACCAGAGTGTCACATTACGTGGCCTGGATCGAAGGGATAGTTTGGCCGAAGAGTTGACGAATCTTGGCGTCGGTGTCTCAGTCCGCGCGCAGACGAGATAAATTGACCAACTATAAGGTCCGCTATGGTGCGCGCGGGTGCTTGTCGCACAAGTGCATGTAAACCCGGAAAAGAACGATCGTAAAATAAGTAATCGTATTTATACTGATTTAATTTAATTAAAATAAAAACATATGTCATACGTATAATCATAATAAATAATTTTCATTGCGTTGATCTATAGTCCTGTAAGATTTTCAAGAAGTAGTTTTGTTCCCTAATTCTCACCCCCCTCCCAAATTGGAGGGAAGTCATTTGTCAAATAGGTAATATCTCTGCAACAACGAAATTCAAAGTCCAGAGCGATTAGAGACGGAATTACATATGATTGAAGTAGTAATTTTCCGCAGGCCACATTATTAAAATAGCCTCACAATATAATTTTGTATGAACTGTTTGAAAATATTTAATTCAAATATAAAATTATAATATGTATCATGTATATTGAAATAAGACAAAGTATATTGATTAGTGATTACTGAACATGTATACGGATCAGAGACCAGAACCGGCATCGAAATGAGTATATTGAGTATAAACTGAGTATAAATGGCATGTTTAATTATGACTTTATAATAAATACTCTTATGTTGTCGCCTTATCGGCAGTAGTCGAACTCTTACGGCATAAGAGACATTTATAAACAGGACTCAGGACTTATAGCACTTAAAATCATTAAAATAAGCGCTAAAAAACATTATTATAATCACTAAAATAAGCATTTAAAAAAATTAAAATTAAGCAAAAATATTAATAAAAAAAAAAAACTATAAAATTCTAACTAAAAAATTAAAAAAAATAAAAATAAATCTTCAATTTCAAGACTTTTAACCCTTTGAGTGCCATAGATGCACATACTCATCCATAGTCAGGGTTCTTCCTGTGCCATAGACGCATATATGCGTTTTTGCTCTTTTAAATTCAACAATTGCTGTTATTAACACTATATTGATAACAGTATATTATAAATTCAAAGACCTATCCAAGGACGTTTACAGAAAACATATCGAAATAATACCAAAGAAGCTAACAATGAATTAATGTTTTAATTTTTCCATGGTCTACCAAAATATTTTTTTTCCTAAATATCTTTTTTTTTTTTATCAATTTATCAAATCACAATCACAAAAATTGTTTTATAATTCTATCTATATTACTTATGAGTTATATTATTATGTTTTACTACTGTTATCATAATTATTTTAGATTACAAAAATCAAGATTTCAGAAATAATTATTATTATCGAAACCGCTAATTATTGCATTCGTTAATTACATTTTGAGAACCAATGGCCGAATCGTTCTAGAAGGATAATAACTTTGGAAAAATTGGTCCAAATATTATTATATTTTTTTAGTTACTATAATTATGTAATTCATAATAATAATTAAATAATAAAATACAAAAAATAAAAATAAAAAAATAACTTGGTCCTGGAGGTGCTCCTGGCTAAAATTAATTTGGCACTCAAAGGGTTAATGGATTTTCTAAGGAATTTTTTGTAAAAAATAAAATGTAAACTGTTCTCTCTGTTCTTAATCATTCTGACGTTTTGCACTCAGTTCTATTTTCAGCGTTGGAATATTTTTGTTAACCCTACAACGATACCTTGGACGACGACGAACTACGTGACAACGTAGGTAAAATAAGAGTTATTTTTAATTTTAATTCTATCAAAAACAACTTTTCAGGATAAAACTATAAAAACGTAAAAAAAAACTGGTCAAATAAGCAAAAATAATCAGAAAAACTAAAAATAAGCATTTCTTTGAGAAATTGCTGAAAAAAGCAAAAAAAAAAAGCACTTTCAAATTTCATAATTGTACATGTTATAACTTGACATACGCTTCAATAGCACTCTGCTACATTTTAAGTCAATCCATAAAAATAAGCAAATGCTTTAACTCCCGAGTCCTGTTTATAAATTTTAAGCCGTATCCACATTAAAACGAACATTGTTGTTGAACATGTTTGTTGAAAATGATTCCTAACTCGACGAACTGGTGTTACTATGCTTTCAAATGTTCAACAACCGCGCTCGTAAAACTTACACAAAATATTTCCCGCCTAATAAATTGGCAAATTAAATATTTCTTACTCGCATTATTTATTTTTATGTTATTACATCTATGAGTATTTTGGTGTAAACGTATAATTGCAAATTTTTTAATATTTTAGTCTAGATTTTTTTTTTCATTATGAGTGAAGAAGACATAATAATTATTAGCGCAGCTTTTATTTTCATATCCCTTTAAGGTCTTTAGTTTCTATTAGACTTTTAGGTCTAAATATATAACTATAACACATACCACCTCCAACCATCTTCAGCAGTAACCAATAAAAATACAAAAGTATAACGAACAAATAACAAGATAAGTGTTTGATAAACCACCGGAAAATCATAACAGTTTTTGATTTGATTTATTTGATCTTTCACAGTTTTATACAAAAAAAAAAAAAAAAATGGCTGCATTCTTTTATTTTTAATAATTTTTTTAGCCAAAAATTATGGCTGATAATCCTTTAAAATGCCACCAGGGATTACTAATATATATCATATATTCTAGATTCTTCAATACTTAATACCTTTATTTTGATTTATATGTATTAATGATATTAATAATTTACGGTCGAATTGTTTGACTTTAGATAATTTTGTTGTAAATACCTAATATATTAATTTAATTTTTTTAGTTTTAATTTATTTTAATCGTTGTAAGATTAAAAACTAAGCTGCCCGTAGTTGTGATATTTACAACTGTGTAATAACATTTATTTCAGCCTCAAGGACATTTTAGTACTTCATCAGTTAGTATACGTGCAATATAATAACACACAACTAAAATAATAACATAATTATTACATATTTTCATATCGAGATCATCGTCATTCTAAAGATGATAACATTTATTTGTATTCCATTTTTACACTACATAATACAATATAATTGTTAATCATTAAAAATTATTTGAACCGTTGGTGGATAATGTGCACATCCTTGAAATCTAAATAGTGATTTACTAAGCAGATAAATGGAAATTATATTATATGATTATAGCAAAAATAGATTTTGCGATACTTAGATGTCATGAGTATGAATTTTTTTATTCGTACACAAGGTCTGAAAATTATTCTGTTAAATTGCCGGATGTTGAAATTACAAGGTATAAAAAAATGAATAAAAATTTGTAAAATTGAACAATGAAAAGTGTATAAAATGCAGTGATTCGAAAGCCAATAAAAATTATTCCACATAGTACTGCACCACGCTGTACACTTATTGTTACGCAATTCGTACCTTTTTTTTTTAACGTTACACTTTTAAAGTTTTCTCTTTTGTGTAATAGAAGAAATTCAATATGATTTTCAAAAAAACATTTTTGGTATTGGTTTTCACTGTTTATTGTTACATGTCTTCGATCAAGGGAGGTATCTAAACAATATAACATGTTTTTATAATAATATAATTTAACTTAATATAAGTTAACTTTTAGTTGATTAAATAATAAAATATAAGTGTTAGTCAAACTTAAATATGTGATTCGTTAAATTTGATTAAATTTATTATTTATAAAACTTAATTGAAAATATAAATATTTTAAATTATACAAAATAAATAAATAAAAGGGGTTGAATGATTAATTATTAATTTATATTTTAACTGAAATTAATTATAAATTATAAAAAAAAAATATGATTTTGTTATAATATTAAATTCAATTTTTATCATTTTATTAATATTATTACTTATTTAAAATGTTATATCTAGAAATAAAAAATTACATAATTTGTTAATAATAAATATTGTTTTATAGCATCGCTTATGAGACATATTCTAAGGATTTTTTTCAACTACGCGTTTTGTTTTAATAAGCCTATCAGAATAGAACTATGATCTTGAAATATAATATCAAATTATAGTTACTAATAATAACATTTTCAGTATTTAGGAGGAATAATTTAAAATTTAATCTATTAAGAAGATATAAAAAAATAAACATTTTTGTTTGAAACTTATTTTAATTATTCTATTAAATATCCTCTTTACTTTTTTGTACTTTTTATATAATACATAATACGATGTTAGAACGTTTTTTTGTTAACTTTATTTCACTTTAATTTTCTTCATCTTTAGATTTTATTTTTGTTGCATCCATACAAATCCCATTAAATCATTCTTGTTCTATGGCTGCATTTCTCAATCTATGGGTCACGACCCAAAATTGGATCGCCATATATTTTTAATAGGTCACAGTTTATTAGCTAAAAACGAATATAATAAAGGGAAAATATTGAAATAAATTATAAAAATAAAAATGATTAAATATACAAACATTTTAGTCAAGTTTTTTTTTATACATACCCATAATTTTTTTATTATATGTATAGGTAATAATTATATGAACTTGTATGAGTATCTATTTTAAGTTATAACTAATTATTATTTATTTATAGACAGGGCTTAAAACCGTTCCTAATAAAGTTGGTAATCGGCTCCGGTAGAAGCTGAAATTTTTTTAAAAACCGGTAACCGGTTATCGTTTAATTTGAATATTATGGTAATCGGTAACTGTTTCTTTAAGGATATTTAAAAAACTATAATAACCTTTAATCGTTTAAAAGCCAATGATAAGGTTTTTTGGTAATCGGTTATCGGTTAAAAACGGTTTTTAAAAATCAATTTTTTAATTTTTTAATCATATTTTTAAAACTGTTTATTTAGGCGATTCGTGGGTTGATAATATAACTTTTATTATTACAAAAACAAAAGCTTAATATGCTTTAATTTGATCGATTTCACTCAATTTCAATATTTATTTTTTTAAACTGCTTTAAAGTTTAAAACATATCATGATCAAGATAATGATAATCAAAATACTAAATTATATAAACATTTTTTATTGTTATAATTTTCTTATTTATAACGGTAAAAAAACGAAATTAAATATAATAATTTTCTAAGATGACACTAAAATTGATACATTGCCATAGAACTTTTCGGTTATATTGTATATAATACAGTACCTCAAAACCTGGATGAGCAGATATTAAAACGACAGTATTAAAATATCATAAATACTAAGCCTCTATTCCACCAACTATTTCGTAATAGGAATCAGCGCGCCACGAAGACGACGTTTATGACGGTATTTATAATGTATAGTTATACCTATATATATGGTACTCGTCCAATATGCTATCAACCGTAAATATTTTAACTACCGTGTAGTTACGTATGTATACGTATTTCTCATCACTCCGAGGAATGATTTTTTTTAAGAACTTTTTTCAACTCATCACCACAAATTGTTTGGTTTTTAATTTTTGTACATGTTTGATCGATTGGTAATAAACCAAACCTCATATGCTTAAACATTTTTCGCAGATATCTTCATTTTGAATTATATTTGGATATAAATAACTCATAGTTGACAAACTCATAATAATAATTAATAAATAAAGCAAAGTACAAACACATATAATCGATTCAAGTCACAAACACACAATAAGCAGGTATAATATAAAACTATACCTACTAACTAACCTAACCTACTAAAGTTTAAATATAATATCATTTGGGGTTTTGTAAAAGCTTTATCATGATGATAGCAAAATGATAAAGTATATATAATATACAGCATACGAACCTACGGCAGATATCATACTAAACTATCATCAAATTACGGTAGATGGCATATTGGACAAATACCATATATATATATATATATATTAATGGCCGTCGAGTATTGATTATCTGTTGTGAATATCATATAATATAAGCAATACTCGACAGCCATTAATTGGGGAAAAATATTTAAAAATAGCTGAAAAATTAAATTAAATTATAATAGTATAATTTAATCATGACATAATTCAAGTATTAATACCACGAAGAAATCGTTAATTATTTTGGTCGGGAATAGGTTTTGGTTATAAAAGCGGGATTGAAAATACGAGGTAATCGTTTTGATGTTAATATTTAGATATTTATTTTGATTACCGATAACCAATAACCACTTCCAGCATTCCAAAACTAAAAGCGATTATCGGTTTTCGGTTCTCAAATTTACGGTTTTTTTACAGATTTTTTTAACAAACCGGTTACCGGTTTTAAACACTGTTTATAGTAGTTTTATTATTTGATTTTGTATGATTTTACCACGGGAATTTGTTCTTATGCCTTATCGATAGATACTGCTCGATAATATATTATTATGACAATCGTAAGTTAATTATCTAATATGCATTACCTACACACGAATATGAAGGTTTTAATTTTTTTTTTTTTTTTTTATTGAAACTTTGTAGGTTTACAATTTATTTTAACATTCATAGAATAAAATTGGTGTAAGCTTGAATATTAATACATACATTTAATTTCAAATAATTTAGATATAATTAAACGGATAGACCAGTCTCACGGATAATTGATAATAATCGGATTATAACAAATTCAGAATTGGAATTAAGAATAAAAGATAGAGTTAGTTGGATACTTTGGGATTTTCAAAAATTAAAAAAAGTAAAACGATTAGAGGATAAAGAGGGGAAGTTAAAGATAATATAGGAGAGGTCGCAAATAATTTCTTCAGAGTGTTTAGAACAGGAAGGGGAATCGTTTAGAGAGATTTTGTAGGAATGGGAAGAAAGTAGATAATTACCAACCCGTAAACGGCTAAATTGTGTAATCGAGTTTCTGGATGATTTTAGATTAGAGAACCAAGTTTTTTTTTTAGATGACGGGAACACTTTTATATTTTGAGGCGAAATTAGCCGGAAAACTATTCCAATAGGATGACCAAAGATGATTGATATGTTATTACAGAAGTAGGATAAAGTAAAAAAAAGGGATTTTACAAGGAGGGGACAGAGAGATCGAAGAAGTGGACCTTGCTAGATTGTCTGTGATCTCGTTACCAAGGATATCAGTGTGGCTGGGAGCTCAGAGAAATTTAAAAGTAAAGTTAGCTTGATTGAGAGAGAAAAGAATATTTTTCATGCGGAGAATAAGAGGAGAAAAGCAGAGATTGAAAGGATAACTAACTAACGATTGAATACTTGACATTGAGTCAGATACAATTAAAAATCTGTTGGGGAGAAGTGAAGATATGAGTGTGAGGGCTTCAATGATAGCGAAAAATTCGGCAGAAAATGACGAAGAAGTGGGGAGAAGATTGTTAGGAAAGGAAATAATTATAGTTTGGGGATATAAAAAGAATAGCCTGCAGAAATAGGAGAGACCGAACCATCAGTGTAAACTAAAGTGAAAAGAGGAAAATTATCATTAATGTAATAGAGAAAAAGGTTTTTGACAGTGGAGGGGGGAAAGGATTTTAATGTATCAAAGGAAAGACCTAGGAAGCAAGGATCTATATTAACAGATAGTAAATATAGAATGTAAGGGAAATCAAAGCAAGGGAGTCAATTTGAGCTAAAAATATACTCAGGAAAAGAGGATAAGAAATTGGAAGTGAGAGAGAGAACAGGAAGAGATTTTTTAACGTATCACCAATTAAAAAATAAAGAGAAAAATGTATCAAAAATAGTAGATTTGGATTTAAAAAAGGATTTTAGAAGAAATTTCCAGCTAACCAACGACATCTAATATTTAATGGAGGACAGACGGTTTCAACTTCAATAGCAGGTGTAGGAGTGGATCTTAAATAACTTATAATCATTCTGAGGCATGATGATTGAAGTTTATTGAGTTTGTTAAAGACGGAAAATGACGCTGACCTGAAGAGAAAACATCCATAGTCGAGTTTTGATCGAATGAAGAATTTTGAATATTTGAATGACCAATTCACAAATAATAAAAATACAATTAGAACGTATTATCATACTACATTTTCTGCAGTAAAAGCTTCATATTTATTAGCATATAGAATTTCTAAAAATAATAAACCACACACTATCGGTAAAAATCTTTTTCTGCCTGTTGCATTAGATATTTGAACAGAAATATTAGAGAAGAAAGCAGCAAACAAATTAAAAATTATACCAGCCTCAAATAATACTGTTCAAAGACGCATTATCGAAATTAGTGAAAACATAAAACAGCGATTGTTAAACAGATTAAACGCAAAACCTACTTTTATAACAGTTGTGTCGCTCATCTCAAAAAATCTAAATTCTTGAACTTACTAAATCTCATTACTAAATGGTTAGAATAATACTAGCGTTAGTGCGATTGAAAGATCTAACTGTCGGTTATTCCGTAGTATACACCATGTCCCTTAGCCCCTTTTGCCTTTTACCAGCCGATATATAATCAGTGCTTGATTTGAAGGGAGAAGCAGGGGGGCGGAGTACCCCTACTAATTTTCAGAAATTTTAGCGTCCCCTATTATTATTACATTAGGTATAATTATAACGCTTGACAAGTCTTGGGAATGCTATTTTCTTTAAAGTAAACAGAGTCCTCCTTTTTTAATTTTGCTAATTCAAGTATTGCGTGAAACTGTAAGATTTTAATTCATATTAGCAATAGTATTTTTGTTTTTTAAGTTCATTTATAATTATCATTGCAAACATTTATCTTATTTTATGGAATTAAGTCTGGAATAGAGATGTTTTATTTTTTTATGCAATTAAGCCAGTGGCATCATTTGTAGGGAGGAGTGGAAATTAGGGCATTTACCAGTTTCGTTTTAACTTCAACTAATAGTCGGTACACTTAAAAAATAAAAGAAGTCTTCAAGAGGTAAATTTAGTCAACAAATATTAATTTTAGGTTAGTTGATCTCCTAAACTTCTCCTAAATCCGCCCTTAGACTTAAAGCAACTACGCTAACATAAAAAATTATAGTAATTATTTTCCTGAATTCAACTAAAATGAAGTTATTCTTATCTTAATCTTGATATATTGTTGACAAAATTTAATAGAACTAGGTATAACCGCTATAGTTTATACATTTTTGTTCTATTGATCAAGCTTTAGAAAAATATAAAAACAAAATTAAATTAAAATGTGTAGTAGAGTTTGAGGGAAGCGAGAAAAAATATTTTTATTAGGTATTTATTGAATCTCCTTCCGTTATTATGTTGTTAAAGGGCCCATTGTAAATTTTTTGTCCGAGGCCCAATCATGAGCCAGACCGACACTGATCATAGATTACATAGATTAAAATATTATAATTATGCTTTATTAAAATTAATTAGGTACATGTAAATGCAATATTTTTAAATGCTTAAAATGTGTTCTCCTTCGGTACTACATACGTCTTGGAAATAATCAATTGCATTGCTTGAGAAGTACGTTTGCCGATTTATTTGCACACAATTAATATACCTGGTGATTTTAGGGAGCCGATGACAAAGAAGCAGGAGATAGAGAATTGATAGCAAAATTACTCACTGTGGTTCTCAGATGCTTCAAGGATGCTAATTGGAGTAAGAATCATTTTTTTTGTTTTACAACATTTATATTTTGACACAGGGGTGGACTGAGAGTACTTCGGCCTGGGTGGAGAAGATTTGTGCGGCCCACATTTTTTTTTGTATGATCAAAAAATTTACAGCTCATTATGATCGCTCATCATAGGCTAAAATCTCCTAAAAGGGTGTTTACCACCGCCAATGTATTCTAGAAATAAATAATACTTATCATAATTCATAATATTATATTATATCATTTTTAATACTTAAAATCTTTTATGTCTATATTTAGATATTACTGAGACAACAATTTATCAGGTATTTATTTTTCAGATAGCTAATAATGTAGTTATCATTGTGCATTTGTGCTGTTTTGCCCTACTATTATATAATAAAAGTCTTGGTTATATTATGTACCTATTATTATTTTAGAAGTAAATTTTTATTTTCATGAATTTATTTCCGTTTTATTTTAATATTTGTTTTAAAGATTTAGCAGAGTATTTGAAATGTATGGGGAGTGTGAGTATCAAAGCCCCCCATGGGTTACTGATAAGTTAATTTTGGAGGGATTTGAGCACCCCCAGAGTACTAAGTGGATTTCCGCCTATGTCGCTTATGATTGGCCAAGCCCGGATTATGATAATTTTATTATTATTATTTCGGCCATACAATTTTAGGAATCCATAACCATAATCAAAATATTGACGGCTCACACATAAATATATTTTAGAGACAAAAAAAAATTATATTCTAATTTATAAATTTATTTCTTGCTTTTTTTTAATACAAAAAATAAAAATTTTATGTATATAAATAATTTTTTCTTTCTTTTTGTGAAGTAAACCCTTTAATTATATCATCGGCATTAATTGCCTCTAAAATATTACTTTCTGAACATAAAACCATAAAACTATATAATATTTTATACTTGTTTTTTATACGAGCTAAATAAAGAGTTAAAAAACGAAAAAACCTACTATCCACCAGGGACTTACTATTGTTTGATATTCGTTGTGGGCCCGGGATCATGGCCCCCTCTGTCCTCACTTTAATCCAGGTTTGTGATTGGCAAATTTTACAGTCTTTGCGTACACTTATAACGACCTTAGATAGCTAGATTTAGTCTTTATTTACGTCAAATATAATTGCAGCACAAAAATTCATTAAATACATTATTACCACAAGAAAGTGAATTCCTTATTTTCGCATAGTGTATAATAATAATACGAGTATAATAGGTAATAAATAAATGAAATATCAAATTCTTATTATTTAAATTTAAATTTATAAATTCAACATTTGATGCATAATGGTGGATGATTTTTTTAAATAGTTAACGACTTGCGACACATCTATTTCATCCAACAGCTCTTTTTTTACTGACATTAAAAGCAGAGACTCCAAATTGTTCCTGATTTAAATTGGATCTTAATCTAGTTATAATAAGCTTAAGTTTACTAAATGTACGTTCACAGATAACTTCTGTAACTAATAAAGTTAAAAAAAAATGCATACGTTTCGTATAGTGTAAACACATGTAAATTTAAATTATTTATCAAACTTAGACACAATGCAGGCAATTTTTCTTGTTATGGTTACTGTAAATTGCATATTACATTAAACTACATTACCTGAAACCATAAACAACAATACTCGTATTATTGGTCATGATTAAATAAAAATTGTAAATAAAACGAATATTTACACTACCCATACAGCATAGATATATTTATTCAATATTTAATAAATATTTTAAAAAAAATGTTAATATTTGATAAATGCTCAATATCCATTGGATATACATTTTTAAACACTGAATTAAGTATTATACATTCATACAATTTTACATTTTGATTCATTTTCAAATATTGGTTTTCAAATATTAATATATTTTTATTATACGTTTCAGATTTAACACGTAACTTTTCTCTTCGGTTTCGGACTCCGAATATATTAATTTTGTTCTTTTCTCTACTGGATTAGATATATTTGGGTAGACTTTTGAAAAATGTTGAAGTTCCAGTTTTAATTGATCAAGATCTATAATTGATATAGATTACTAGGTATATTAGCAAAATGTAGATGTATCTACGATATTACAAGTTAATAATAATGTTATGTAAAAAAATTCGTGCCCCAGGATTGTGTATTTGTGTGTTATTATCTATTATTATTAATTTAGTAACTATAGCATAATTTAATATAAAATTATAATATAATATATTTTTATTAAAAATGCACCATAACGAAGGGGCCTCTTACGACAGCGGTCCCGGTGGATTTCTCCCACCCTCCACTTGGGCCGGTCCGCCACTGCCTTGACACACTGATCGTGTGACTGAATCGAATCAATAATGTACCTATAATTTCGTATCGAGTATTCGAATTTACTTAATAGATCGGTCGTTACCCGCTCAAATTAATCTAAGTACCGATATTACAGACGATAAATAGATTATATATATATATTCTATATCTTTAGATCTACATTATAGAAGAAACTCGATACCGATCAACAAATTGCTACAATATCTTCCATATCTAGTAAATAAATATAAAATATTTAGAATAAGTATATACTATTTTATCATCTATAATACGCACAATTATGTGCAAAACAATAAATTAAATGTAAGTGAGCACGGAGAACCTAATAGAAAAAACGATTTTTACCCATAAAAAACAATTTCAACGAAAATTATATAGACGACAAATCAAAACGGGCTACGAGTCACGTTTGTCAGAAATGCAGCCTGACAGTATTGGACAAATAAACGAACGTATGCGTGCCTAACAAGTAGCAATCGTGATAAAATTCGTAATTTTAAGTATTACGCAAGTTATATTTATCAATTTCCGTTTTTACTCTCATAGGAGTTGAATTTTGAAAAATCTTTACTTATTGCGCATCTAGAGAGTTAGTGGAACCACAATGTCAAGTTGCAATAATATAGCAATAATTAGCGAGTGAAAGGTATTTGGAGAGGCTGGGCAAATTAATAATATTTTTTAACACACACACACACACACACACACACACACACACACACACATATATATATATGAGTGTGTGTGTGTGTGTATAAACACAATTTTTATAATCTTCATAAGTACTTATTTTTATTTATTTTATTTTATTAATAATTACAGGCAAGTCCAAAAACATGAATAAAATACAAGTTTAAATACAAATAGAAAGAAGAAACTAAGTTACAAACAAAATAACTAACTAACAAAAGAAGGGTCATTATTAGCTGTTCGCATGAGACGGATAATAAGAGAGTTATCGAGGTAATTAAAGGAAGAGTGAGGAATGTAGAGAGGGTCAGACCAGCAAATGGTGTGGGACGGAACTCTAAAATTAATTAGGGATAAGAAAAAAGGAGAATCAATTTTGGACGAAAGAAGATTGGAAAAAAAGGATAGATTAGATGTATGACGATGGTCAGCTAACGTAGATATATTAAATACACGCAGAACAGTTGAGTAATCATAGAGAGGACGAGGGATATTAAGTCTATAGGCTAAATTCGGAAGAATTTTCGCTGAACTCGCTCTATTATATACTTATATATTATAATTATACTTGTACTCGTATTATTGTTAATTATTATAATGATTATTATTTAGCCGCATGTAGTGAAATGATAAAAACAAAATATGATCCAACTCAAACAAAATACAAACAATGCACAGTAAGTATTAACATAAAATGACACTTAGTGTCACAGTATTATTTTGGGTGTATTTACATATTGATTTCCATACTGGTTCATCAACTAATCACTAAACACAAGTCTAATATTAATTTATAGTGTCAGTTGGCTTGTGCTGGAGAGGAACTTGAAATGGTAAGTCAATAATTTACAATTTCATAACTATTGCATCATATAATATAGTTAAGTGTGTACTGTGTAGGCAAGGACGTACCCAAGGAGGGGAGGGGGAATTTTCAGGTCCGGATCCCTTCCACTGAAATTTCTACATACTCAACGGTTTAATAGTAAATAATATAATAATAGCATATAGTGTATTTTAATTTCCCATTATCTTCAATATATAAAGTTTATAGATTATATAATTTACCTAAAATGTATAAACCATATTATACTATATTAACAGTAATTTTTTGGTATTAAGTTAAAGTATAATTATAATTAGAGAAGAGATAAAATAAAAATTTTGGACCCCCCCCTCATAAAAAATTCCTAGATACGCTCTTGTGTAGATACACAACTACATGTTATCCAAACTTGGATTATAATAATTTGGGGCCCGGATCCAAACAATTTTAGGGGCACGTAACCATAATCAAAATATTGGTGACTCACATATAAATATATTTCAGAAACAAAAAAAAAATTATATTCTAATTTATAAATTTATTTCTTGCTTTTTTAAATACGAAAATAAAAATGTTATTTGTATAAATAATTTTTTCTTGCTTTTTGGGAAGCAAACTCTTTAATTATATCATCGATATTAATTACCTCCAAAACATCACTCTCTGAACACAAAATCATAAAACTATTTAAATTTTCTAAAGAACTGCTCGTTCTCTATTTGTTTTTATTCGAGCCAAAAAAAAGAATTAAAAAAACAAAAAACAGCTACTATCCGCCAGCGGCCCACTATTGTTTGATATCCGTTATGGATCAGGGGCTATGGCTTCATCTGTCCCCCCTTTAATCCAGGCTTAATATTATCTCTAACATTATCAAGGAATTATGAGATTCATAATCTATATTGAGTACATTGTAATTTAGATTTAGGTACATAAATCCACAATGTACCTATTATTGTCTATTGGGTTTCTAGTAAGTATGAATTCAGTTCAAATATTTCACACATAACTTAATGATATGTACCATCGGAGAATATATAGTAATCAGTTAAAGTAAAAAAGTAGTACCTACAATATTTACATAATTGATAAGAAATACTCCAAAAAATTGAATACTACCTGTATTAGAATCTAACATTAACTTGATGTTAACTAAACGTTAACTTAATCTTTGACGAATGAATGAATGAATAAATAAATAAATAATCAAATAATTGTGGATTTTATGAAAATTTTTGGAGGGTTCGGCTCTGTTTTTTACACTCTTGAGTAAAAGTATAAGTGCAATTATTCGTTCAAAAGAAAACGGTCTTTTGAATGATAGAAACTGAAGACTTGAGACGTAAATACAACTGATTTTTTATAGAAAATTTACCATCCAAAAAATATTTAGTTCTTGAAGAAACAAACATTTTTTAAATACAAATTCTACTTTCAAATCTTTTGGTAGGCACCTATTAAAAATAGTCACGCAATAATAAAATATTAGCATTTAGAACATAGACACCAGTAAGGTTCAGAGCTACCAGGAACCATAAAAAATATAGGAATTTTCGCCCGATGTTTCTACAATTTAATACATTTTTTTCAAACTAGATAAATAGTAAAGGGGAACCAGTTCCTTCCAAATTCCTGGATTACACAAACCGTATCAACAGCCCAACTATTAAGAAAGAAATGCAAACTATTTACGACAAATGCAATACTGGTAAGCTATTTTAAAATTAATTATTGAACTTTATTCTCGTCGGTTTTAATCATAATAGATACGACCAGGGGTGGATATGCCCATAGGGAAAATGAGATTTTTCCTGTGGGCCCTCGTCCTATATTATGTCGGTGGCCCCCTCGATACCATTAATTTTTTCATGGAAATGTATTATTTATTTTTTTATAGTTAAATTATTTAAATTAAATTAGGATGAGTAAATATAATACATTTTTTAATAGCAAATTTTTTTTCATTTTGGTGGCCCCATTAAAATATTACCCTACAACAAAAAAACTACCTATCCACCTCTGGTCACGACATATTTCCAAATTTTAAATTATGCATTACATTATAAATTATTGTAGTCAAAGGGACTGACAAATGCGATCTATCCGAAAAGTTTGCAATTTGTGCCTTAAAGGAATCTCCAGCAGTAAGCATTTCCGTGACTATATTTATAATATTCAATAGACGCCGACAGTTTTATATTAATAAAAAATAATGTACCTACCTATATATATATATATATATTTTTTTTTTTTGCAGATCAAAGACCGTATCATTATGTTAACCGACACTTTAATGAAAATAAAACAAAAATAACATTCCATTATCTTAATATGAACACTTCCTCAGATGGCTTAATACATACATACTTCAATACAACATAATCTTTACCATTGATTTTAAAATATTTTTTTTAAAATCAATGCCATTAGCTCTATTTGCGTACCTGTATAATATTTAAATATTTGTATACCTGTACATTAATAATTACCAATAAGTGAATAAATAAGCTTGCATTTCAATTTCTATTTCTTCAATAAATCTTTTAAAATTAGTTTTACTGCAACTATTAATTATTATTAATCATTAATCAATAGAAACTGATAGTCTAGAATACATAGGCACATGACATAAAATTATGTATAATTGTATAGAATATTTTATTATTATTTTTTTATAATGATAGTCACTACTATCATAGGCGTGCACACAGGCATAGGCGGTACTACGGGTTAGTAGATTTTCTATATCTGATAATGTTTATAAATGAGTAATAATAAATGAATGAACAAATTAGGTTAGATGCTATCATGTATGTCATTTAATTTTCGATAATTTTGAATCTTGACAGAAATAGTTTACGTTACAACTAAAATTCCAAAACCAGTTTCACAAATATCCTCCCTTCCGTTCACACTCCATGTAATTTGTACAGATTGCTTATTTTACTTATTAACAACTGTTTGACAAATATAGATATTAAAATTAATTCGGTATAAGTATTTTGGTAATGCCTAATGTTTATAATAATATTATTATAAAAATATAATTGAATATTGATTTTATTGATTGATGCTAAAAATATTAAATGCGAATATGGATAACATCAATATACCGTGGAGGATTTTCTAAAATAAAAGGCTTTTGAGCTAATATAATATAGTGGTCTGTTGGTAAGATATAAATAGAAAATAATTATTAATTTTACAAGGAAACAGAACATATTACTATCATATCATTTTATTATTGTGTAATGAGCTGTGAAGAGTGACATTCTAAAATTCTTTCCAATTATTATAATATTTAGTTTTTTTTATAAAATTAAGGAATAACTTAGTAGGAAGTATTATCTCAATATATTTGATTTTTTGCTGAACGTATTTGTCATTAATCATTAGCAAGGCTCGGAACTTTATCATGTAAACTAAATAGCTAACTAAATATAACTATATAGTAGAACTATATAATGTAAGATACACAATTGATCTATCATTTAAACCTAAATATATATTTTGATAATCGCGTACGATCTAATGATTTTCCAGTAATCTACCAAAAGAAAACTTCAATGAAATTAATCTGCACGTTCGTGAAAAAATGTCATAGCTATATAAGGAATCACGTAAACACATATTACGTTAATAAAAATGACAATACCAAAGTACGCATGTCATTTATACATTTTTATATTGTTACAAAATTTCATTATTCAACAAAAAGTGTCTTAATGATATTTGATAACAAAAGCAAACAATTTATATTATAATTTGATACCCATTGTCCTAGCCATCTACATTTTACATGATATATTTTAATGCGGACATCATCACCACATGACGTTTTATGGAATAAATACTCCACTTTGCGCATTAATTCTATGTAATGGAATTATCAATTTAATTACCTCATTCTTTCCTCAAAATGTGTTTTCACATTCAACGCTTGTGTGTCACATTATAATATCTATGCTGTCACAATATGTATCGATTTTATTTCCAAGAAATACAGATGTTTAGCAATCATTATATAATATCATGATGGTAATTTTTATTAATTTATTTATTTTATTTATATCACACGTCTTCGTTAATACTGTAATGTATTACTTTAATCTATTCAAATACCCGAATTACGAAGGACAATTAATTTTAAATATACTATTCTTCAATACAACGTATTTTATATTATACCGTGAAGGATAGCTTTAAAAGATTAAATTTGTAGTTTTAACAGTGGATGTAGGTCTAATTGCCATCCGATTAGATATATTACTATAACTGATTTCAATCTTTGATTTAGGAGTATCGTATCGGAGTGTAAATAACTAGGCACCGAGATAAAAGAGAGGTTTATATTATAAGTTTATGTAATTTATCATGGTTAATATTTAAAAAATAAATATTATACGCGTTATAGCTTTCTAAAGGTACTCAAATAATTTATGATTATAATTAAATTCTAATATTTTATTCATGTTAGCACAATATTGACTTACATATTATAACTTTACATTTTTATGTACATTGGGCACTCAACAAAAAACATCTTATCATTTCAAAAATCTTGATAATTCAATTGAAGAGTGTAAATATCCATGTGTTCTTTAAATACTTTTAAACGTATAAAATATTTATATTTTATCGTGTATGTAGACATTAAAACCCTAGAAATTCGGTATGATTAGTCGTATTTTTGGCATTCACGTACTTTAAGTCTTATCGACCTAAACAATCTAGATAAAACCTACCAGTTAAAATCATAACATCGCGAAAACCTGTGGATATCTAATACTTCATTTAAAATTGACGTTATACGTGTATTTTTCAAAATCTCATGATTGTTGTTAACACACAACGGGTGGTAGATGATTTATATTTATATTTTAGAGTCGATTTCAAATTTATTCTTTCAGTTTGTCATCGTATCCGATGAAATAATCTATGAAATCCAAAACTATAAGAGTGTACCATTAGTTATAATAATATTAATTTGTATTTCTATGATATTTTTAGAATGCCTAATCACATTTAATAGCTATCCATACCATATGATTTTGATTTGATGCAGTCTTACCTTTGAATGCTGACCATGATTTTAGCCATTCTAAATTTTAATAGCAGGATACATGATGTATAAAATAATTGTTTTTCAAACTATCAACTCTTACTCTTCGTTTAAACTATATTAATAATTCGATTATAATTGTTTATAAATAGTACTGTTATTTGTAATAAATAAATAGAATATTTACTTAACTAAATTGTAACCGACATTTTATGGTTTTTTTCTAAAACGCAATGCATTTTTAGATTATATACGAGTAGTTATATACTTTTATGATTCGCAACTCATCAATTCACTTTTAATATTCTTTTCTATGTTAGGTTTTTTCATAGTATAATATAAATCTACAGGTCTTTCCCACCATCCCTCGGCGTCCATGGCTCAACGACTTGGGGATTTCTAGAAAATTGATCGTTGCTTTCACTCGTTTTCGAATAAGTCAGAGTCTTCTTCCTCACCACGCTTTTAAATATAAATTAAAAAAAAGTGTAGATTATTTAATCAAATAAAAGAATGTTTTATTTTTTTTTATCCAAATAAATAGTCTTTTATCTTTATCTAGATAAATTTTTAGTTATCTTTGCGCACACTGCCTAATGCCATGAAATATTTTTCAGTCACCACGTTTAGGCAGTGGTATTAATCTCACAATTATGGGTTAAACATAAACTTATAGCAATCACCCACCTACCCCAGAATTATTTAAAAAAAACCTAATCGCACAATAACATATTACCGTACACTAGGTGCATGATCAACTTTAAAAATTATAATATTCATCAACACCAGCCTACAAGGCTTATAACAACAATTAACGACCACCCACCATCCAACTTTTTTAGGGAAGTCGACTTGATCCTTGACCCATAACGTCTGCATCACTGTTACATATTTTAAGTTTATAAACGTTTTGGACATTGTCTTGGACAACTTCAACATTCAAAGATCATAGTCCATAGTCTTCAGTGTTTCACATCATAAACAGGTGCGTGCCTCACTAACGTAGTAAAAATATTGAACCTTGACAAAAAAAATTTCCAGGCACATCACTGAGTATAAACATTATAGATTCTGAGCGAAGCGAGCTATACATACAAGCTTTAGTATCATGATTTTTTTTTTTGTCTGTCTATAAGATGTTATCATTAAGGTACATTTAAGAAATTTTTTTATAATTTTCAACAGTTTTCCAAATAATTAAGATAATATATATATATATATATATAGTGAAATATTTTTATTTCACTTCAAAAGTAGTTGACATAAAATATAAATTTAAATATTCCGTTTCCATGGTTGATGTTGATCTATGAAATGTTTACTTCTAATAGTAACGAGCTTGATATCTCATTCTTGTATGAGAATTTGTATTAGCTACCTTCAAGTGACTAAGTGTATTCGTATATGAGCTTACTGAATATTAAGTAATAACCGTATAAGTGAAGATTATATCTTAATATATTTGCGATTATATTGTTGAATAACTTGAATATTTTTGAAAAATCACTTTTTTCTTCAATTTTGATAATAATTTATAAAACAAATTGAAAACCATGGACTCAGCTGCAGCAGGAAGTTCCACAAAACAACTGAACGAAAGCGGATCATCATTAAAAAATAAAAGAAAGTTCGTCGAGGAGATTGATCCATTGAATGAAATGCTGTCGAGAAAATATAAGAGGTTTTACTTAGAATAATTATATATTCGTAGATTTATTTTCACCTTAAATAATATTTAAAAGGACGAAGATGTACGCTGGGAGAAAAAGGGCTGTAAATCCAGAAGTTCCAAGTCTCAAAGATACTTGCATAAATTCCCTAAAGAAGAACTTAGACGGTACATATTATTTTCTCGGTTTATGGTGATATATACACGATTTTAACTCTAGTTTGATTTCACCAGTATATTGATATTATCGTAATATTTTTTTTATGTTAATTTTTTTAGATTTAAAATCTACTCAAGGGATCCCGTTCGACTATCTGGAACCAGCCCTGAAATTCGCTACTCCCGAGCAGTTGCACAGAATTGAAAAAAATAATATTTATCTGATGCAACACACCAATAAACTGTGGGAACACCACACTAAGAAACATTTTCCGAACGAGTACCCTTACAAAGATGAATCATGGAGAGACGTGTACTTTGTAATTATCAATAGTTTTTTATTTCTTAACGTAAGTTTTGTGCCCATCCATTAGTCGCCAGTGCGTTATTATGGTTGTTGATAGTAAGATATAAAATTACACTCATTACTTACAAAACAAGATGTATATATAACATATACATATTAAGGTTTCTGCGCATATCAGCAAACATGTATCAGTTATCTAGTCATTTTTACAATTGTACTGATGATGAATGTTATTCGCATTTAACCATAGTCCTTTATTGTTTAGACATGCGTAGAAAAACGCGAAGATAAATTTAATGTGTTGCGGTTGATGATGAAGTCGAACTCACTCAATAACAAACGTGGTATTGTACTAGTACCAGCCGCGAAATGGTAAAAGGACGAATATGTTATATCGATTTTTAAAAAAATAATTAAATTGTATTTAATGACTGCACAATGAATTAGTCATACATTTTTTCAAGGGTAGAGGAGCCATTTCTATAACCTTATGTTATAGATAATCACAAATATTAAAATATTTTATCAAAATGATATTAAATTTATCAATTTTTATAGTGATACGAAGAAAAAAAAATAAAAAAAGCACCTGAATCTAAAGTATCTGAAAAAACAAACATCCACACACAGGACCGAAAATATTGCCTTAGCAATACAAAATTCGTATTTAAACGATGATGTTATTAACAGGTTAACTGCCACGTGTACCAGATATGGTACACTGTAGTATTTCCAAGTAACGCATAACATTTGTTACAATGTTTGTCAATTTCGCTAAGCTAAAACAATAACAAAATAAGATTTTTAATTTATGTTTTAAGTATTAGAATAGTATTTGTCAATGATTCCAGTGTACCTTAAATAGTACACGTAGCACGAATGTAATGTTCAGCCGTGTACCATAACTGGTAACAATATTTTATTAACATTAAAAATTACTGTGGCAGTTAACCTGTTAATGCATTTTTAAACATCGTAAAATTACAAACATCGTTTATTCCACAAAACGTATTATTTTATCAAACACCACTTATGTATACAGCCGTTGAGAACGTGGATGATTTTCAAATTTTGTGTAGTGGTTCTATTGGAAATGATGCTATTGGACATTTGCTATGTGTGTATTATCGTAATGAAACTAAGTGCGTAGAAGTGTACGATAGTCTATACCATACGCTTAATGATAATTTATTTGAGATTTTGAATATTTTATATCCTTCAAAATCCAATGTTGTGTTTAAATCTGTTATAAAACAGCCAGATGGGTATTCATGTGGAATTTTGCAATTGCATTTGCTACATCACTAATATTTGGACGTAATCTGTTGGATGAATGTTATATTATCGATTACGACAGTATGATATGTAAAATCTGGACGTTACGTAACCATTTTAATAACATATTAGTAAATTATTACAACCTTTCCCTACACACCATACACATGTAGCCCAGAGTACTGATATTTTACCTTTAAAAAACAAAAAAATAATAAAAACAAAGACTGCAATAGGGCGTAAAAAGCGTAAAAGTATAATTAATAAAAATATCAGAACTGCTATGCAAGATTATAAAAAAAATATTGAATGGAACAATAAAAAAAATTCTGCTTTTAATTATTCACCAATTGTAGATTACAAAAATAGTAGACACATTAAAATTGGACTCATGAATAAATTGTGTAATTTTTGTGATGCTTTAAAATGGCCTGGGGAATCTCCAGGACTGTGCTGTTCGAACGGTAAAATTAAATTACAATCCACCAGAACCGTTACGTAGTCTTATTTTTGGTGAAAATATTACAAAATCTAAATTTTTTCGGACTGCAATTATAAAATATAATTGTGCGTTTCAAATGACCTCTTTTAAAGAAAAACAAATTTTAGATAGTACATTTATGCTAACTTTTAAGAAACAAGGGCAAATATATCATACTGCAGGCAGTTTATACCCCGTGGATTCAAGTGAACCAAAGTTTTTACAAATATACTTTGTAGGTGATGACAATTCAGAAGTTGAATTAATGCATAAAAATATTCTTAACCTTGACCCCATAATTGTAATCGAGTTACAAAAAATGCTTCATTTACATAACAATCTTATAATAAATTTTAAGGCTGCTATAGATTCACAAGAATATGAAAATATCGAAAATTTAAATATAGTTATACATACAGAACGAGTAACCAATGGCAATCATCCTGGATGTTTTAATGCACCTTCAGTTAATGAAGTCGGTATCGTAATAGACGGTCAACAATTTGAAAAGCGTGATATAATTCTGAATGGTCGTAATAATACATTGAAACGTATAAATAAATTACATAGATCATATGATGCCCTACAATACCCTCTCATGTTCTGTCGCGGTGAGGACGGATACAACATCGCTATTCCGAAATTTAATCCAATGAAAAATCAAGCAGATAAAAAAAAAATTTCAGCATCTAACTTTTATTCGTATAAAATTATGATAAGGAAAAATAATAGCAACTATTAACATTATTTTCGGCAGTTATTTAACCAGTATTTGGTAGATATGTACGCGAAAATTGAGACAGAACGTCTAAATTATATTCGCTATAATCAATGTAAACTACGCGTAGATAATTATATACATTTGCAAGACTCTATTAATAATGACATTGATTCTAAAGAAATAGGACAGTTAGTTGTTTTGCCATCCTTATTTACAGGTGGTCCAAGATACATGCATGAAAGGACCCAGGATGCTATGACTTATGTAAGATTATATGGAAAACCAGATATATTTTTAATATTTACGTGCAATCCAAATTGGTCTGAAATAAAGGAAAACTTATTCCATGACCAGCGGTCACAAGACAGACATGATTTAATTGCCCGTGTTTTTCATCTAAAAGTTAAAAAATTAATGGATTTAATCACTAAATCAAAAATATTTGGTAGTGTAAAATGCTTCGTGTATTCAATAGAATGGCAAAAGCGAAGTTTGCCACATGTTCACATTTTAATTTGGTTGGAAAATAAAATCCGACCTGACGATATAGATTCCCTTATATGTGCTGAAATTCCTGACCCAATACAAGATCCAATTTTACACGAAATAGAAAGAAAAAATATGATACATGGTCCATGTGGTACCTTTAATGTCAACAGCAAATGCATGTATAATGGAAAATGCACAAAAAAATTTACTACTACAACTATAATTGGAGAAGATGGTTATCCCAATTACAGAAGAAGATGTATTAAAAGTGGAGGATTCAGTGTGAAAATTAGTTGTAATGGTGTATCTATTGATATTGAGAATCAATGGGTAGTACCGTATAATCCAGTTCTTCTAAGATTATTCGATGCTCATATAAATATTGAACATTGTAATTCCATTAAAGCTATTAAATATATTTGCAAATATATTAATAAAGGTTCAGATCAGGCGACATTTTCTGTAGAAAACCAAAGTAAAGATGAAATAACTGAATATCAATCTGGTAGATACATTAGTTCTTCAGAAGCTGTATGGCATATTTTATCTTTTCCTATACACGAGAGATATCCTTCTGTTTTCCATTTATCTGTTCACCTGGAAAATGGTTAGCGAGTGTATTTTACCACAAATAATGTTGCTGAAAAGATAAGCAAACCACCAACAACTACTCTTACTGCATTTTTTGAATTTTGTAAAACTGATAGTTTTGCAAAAACTTTATTATACCACAAGGTGCCAACATATTATACTTACAACAATTCAAAATTCAACAGAAGAAAACGTGGTACACCTGTTGATGGTTATAAAGGTATAATGAGAGACACGACAATAGGAAGAGTATACACAATGCATCCGAATAACACAGAATGTTTTTATTTACGTATATTACTACACACAGTACCTGGCCCAATTTCATTAAAACAACTAAAAACGGTAAATGGACAATATTATTTTACTTTTCAGTCCACATGTTTAGCTTTAGGTCTTCTAGAAGATGATAAACATTGGGATGATACTATGTCTAAAGCCAATCTAACAAAAAATTCATCAAAGATTCAAAATTTATTTGCTATTTTAATATCCTTTTGCCAGTTATCTGAACCATTTAAACTATGGAATAAGTATAAAAATGATTTATCAGACGATTTTAAACATAAATTAAAAAATGAATATTCAGATTTAGAGTTAGATTTCACAGCCTACGATCAAAACAAGGCATTAATTTCTATAGAAGACCAAGTCTTATCGTGCGTAGGAAAATCTTTAAAAGATTTTGGATTGCCAAAACCTCACAAAGATAACATAAAAATCATAAGTCGTGAATATCTACAACAAACAAACTACAATATCACAGATTTAATGGAATATGTTAATAACAAAACAAATTTGATGACTACAGAAAAAAATAATGTCTTTAATCATATTATTAACTGTGTTGAGAAATCAACAGGTAATGTTTTCTTTTTAGATGCTCCTGGAGGCACTGGAAAAACATTTATTATTAATTTGTTGTTAGCAAAAATCCGATCATCCGGTAAAATTGCTATAGGTGTGGCATCATCGGGAATAGCATCAACGTTAATCCACGGTGGTAAGACTGCACATTCAATGTTCAAGCTACCAATAGACTTAAACATTACCGAAAACCTAGTTTGTGATATAAAAAGAATTTATCATTAGCCAAAGTATTAATCGATTGTGTACTAATTGTGTGGGATGAGTGCACAATGGCTCATAAATCGGGTGTAGAGTCTTTAGATCGAACACTACGGGATATTCGGTCATCGGATAAAACTATGGGAGGCATCACGTTAGTATTTGCGGGTGATTTTAGACAAACATTACCGGTTGTTCCACGAGGAACAAGATCTGATCAAATAAATGTGAGCCTAAAATCATCTACGATTTGGTTGAAAGTCAAAAAATTGTCTCTTACTGTAAATATTCGAACCAAATTAACAGGAGATTTACACGCAGGAGAATTTTTTACATTACTCTTAAAAATTGGTAGTGGGACTGTAAATGATAAGGATGGGTACATCACAATTGTAGAAAACCTAGTAGTATCGACAAATTCGTTGGAACAACTCATACAAAATGTGTACCAAGATATTAATAATTTGAAAAATCTAAGTAGTGGATGGTTATGCGAACGCGTTATTTTGACAACCACAAATAACCGAGCTGACTCAATAAACTCGCTAATAATTAGTGGATTTCAAGCACTAGAAATGAATTACTTTTCTATCGATACAGTTGTTGATAGTGAAGAATCTGTACATTTTCCTACCGAGTTTTTAAATTCACAAACACCATCTGGTATGTCCCCTCATAAAATATCACTGAAGGTGGGAGTTCCAATCATATTATTGAGAAATTTGAATTCTCCTAGATTATGTAATGGGACTAGGCTCCGTGGAACCTCTCTTACAAAAAATATAATTGAAGCTGAAATTTTGACCGGATGTGCTAAAAGTGAAAAAGTATTTTTACCGAAAATACCATTATACACCAACGATTTTCCAGTTAAGTTTAGAAGAATTCAATTTCCAATAAAAGTCTGTTTTGCAATGACAATAAACAAAGACCAAGGTCAGACTTTAACTTACTGTGGTGTAGATTTAGAAAATAACTGTTTTTCACATGGGCTATTGTATGTGGCATTGTCTAGAGTTGGAAGACCTGACCATTTATACGTTTATGCACCACAAAATAAAACTAGGAATGTGATATAGCAAGAGGTTTTGACATAATCCATATTAAAATTGAGCAACTACGTAAAGATTGATTTGTAAATATTATTATTATTATTATTATTATTATTTTTATTTATAATTCAGCTAATACTACTATTTAGCACTTGATAGCATTAAGTAAAATTAAGTAAAATACATTTTTTTTCTCCTGTAAAACACACAAATGTGTGTTGATTTAACAATTTCATTTTGAGAAAGCACAAACTACACACGGGCGAAGCCGGGTTATTCAGCTAGTATGCATATAAATATTCTTAAACCTAAAATATGCGAATTGGTACAAAAAATAACAAAATATGTAAAATTATGCAACAAAAAATTTTATATCAGAAACATACATACTATGAATCGAATTTGTATCGAATCAGAATTTCAATATGCACTTTCTAGACAAATATGCAAATGCCTTAAGTTCCTAAGAAGTATATTTATTATAGATGACAACGTGATTTTAAGAAAATAAAAACCACCCAAATTGAAATCGTCATGTCAATTTCTGTACAGGTAAATAGAGGAATATACAATAGGTTAAACACTTAAAATGTTTGCATCGAAACAAATAAATTTTTTTTCAAATAATCACACGTGCGGTGTATGGTGTATATGATTTATATGGTAATACTTAGTATTTTCAATTACATTATAAGGTAGTGGTAACAACTATCATATTGTTTGTAATAGCATTTAGAAAATGGTAGACATATAGGTAGGCATATATATGAATAAATCAATGGATACAGAATATAGTAAATAAAACTTTTTATTAGGTACATTTTTATAAAGATAAAAAACAATTTATAATACACTTTATATATTAATCAAACATAAATAAAAATTACAATATAAATATAATAGTATTGTATATATACACATATATATATATATATAAATATTTTAAAAATTACAAGATATATATGTAAAATCATCAGACATAGTGCTACAAACACATGTACTATTTTCTATTAAAAGATTATTAAATGAAATACATATAAGATCATTACAGTTTTTTATTTCATATGCCTGTAGATACAATATAAAACTATGTGTAAGATACAAAATATGCAAAATAATATAACTCATGAAAACTTAAAAAAATTATAATTACTTGAGCATTAGGTGATAACTTTGATTTCAAATCATTAATCTGTTTAAAATTTTGGAACGATGTCCAACAGGAAGACAAAGCTCACGTACCATAGATTCACTTAAACTTAAAAAAGTTTCTTCGTCTACTTCTTGATCTTAACATAAAAATATGATACTATCATAGTAGAAATTCCGTTGTAAAACGTAAATTTGTTAATTTAAAAACTAAAAATATTACTAACTTATTTCTTTCAATGATAAGTCAAAATATGAATGCTATACTAAAAATGTTTTAGAACTTACATTACATTTAGGTAGGTAAATGAATTATACAAATAATAAAGCAGAATACTAGAATATAAATTATAATACACAACTGTATGTACCAAGCTATAACATAATATTAGATAAAGGCATAAAATTGTTTAGTTTAGATAGTAGGTACGCCATAATGGTTAATGCGAAGATTAACAAGTCACCTTAATCGTATCGTATGCGCGGCTATGAAGCGAATAACAAATAACTGGACTATGAAAAATCCATATAAATGTATATTATTATAATTATATTAAATTATATAAATGTAATTATAGGATATTTACTTGTAAATTCTTGTACAATATCTTCTGGAATCTTTAGTTTGTTTAGGTTTTTAAAACATAATCGTCCATTATTAAAAATTAAAATAAACAGAGACGCCTTGCAAATGAAGTCTGTACAATCAATATACGACAGTACTACGACTTACAAGAGAACGCTGCGGCACAACACCATGAATCGGTCGTTGTGCGGCCTAGGTGGTTTTTTTTGATATAAATCTATTTTTAAATATACATATAAAATTGTATTCGTAGTATTGTTCTTACAACCATGTAAAAGGTAGACAGGACCTATTGAAATAGTTAAAAACAATATTAACCATATACTGTGGTTGTATATACCGGTTCACTGTAAAATGCATATTATTTAGACCAACAAAAGACTTTTGGTACTGTCAACTATGCGTTTTAGTAAAAGTAACCGTCTATATAATTTGACAAACCGAAACAAATACAACCATTTACTATAGCCAAATTATTTTTCTTTGTAAAGTTATGGTTAATTTTTGAATTTAACATATTGAATGTAAACGCCCATAAGGGTTCAGTACAGAAACACTAACAATAACTAAGAATGACATCAAACATAAACGAATAATAATAAGTAATAACATTATAAAACATGACATTAAGTATACAATCAACTATTAAGGAATAACGAGATAAACAATTTTTACAAGACTACAAGTTAGGTTACAAATAGAGATTTAAATTATTAACCATAGACTTTAACCTGCTTGATGAATCATTAAAGAAGTCGAACTGTTTTAATCTGTTACCTGAGGTAAGCATTCTGTTTAAAGGAGCAAAGTGGTAGTAGTTTTGTCGGAAAATTCAATATTATCGTGTTGTAAATTAATGACTTTAGTATTAAAAATTTTATCAACTAAGATATTTACGCCACCTCCTCTAGTGCATTTACTTGTCTTATTGCTCCTATCATTACGACATTACGATATATATTATAATTACCTAAGTCGAGTTCAGAGTCTAAAATATCAGTACTCAACCAGGTTTCAGTGAACATATAATAATCATATCTAAAAACTGGGATATTACATCTTAAGATATTTAATTTAGTTCGTAAGCCTCTCACATTTTGGTAACCACATAACTTTATTTCATTATGAACCCTGGTTTATTATTATTATTATTGATGGATTATTACTGATGGAGCGAGTATGATAAATTAGTTATTTGAGCAAATTATTGGGATACCATTTAAAATATTTTGTGACTGAATTTGAATCTCCTTCTAAAAGTTTTTGCCGAAGAGTACCTCTCAGTGTTTTCATATGGTTAGTTGGTTAATTACCCAAATCTGTCTGTGTGCCCACAATTTATAAATTAATATTCTATCAAGTATAATGTTTTTACCCTTATAACCCCTTTCATAAAATTTGACCTAGCGTTTTTAATTTTTAATTCCTTTTAACCCATTTAACCCACTTAGAAGTTGAATTTCGAAAAATGAGGTAATAAATAAATGATTTATTATTTGTATTACAGGGTATGTTTTATACCAAGTTTTAACATTTTTTCGATTAAATCCATTCTTTGTGGGTTTTTAAATCATAAAACAAATCTTCTGATAAAATTGCATAGGTAGGTACTCAAAACTTCAGCAATTTTGCCAAGCGATAATGAATTAGTAAATCATAGCAATGGGAAAAATTACTTTAATTAAAAAATTAATTAAAAAAAAAGTGATTTATATCAGTTATTACTAGAGCTCGGAAGTTGTAGGAGTTGCATATTTTTCTGTATATTCTCAATTTATAGCAGACCAAGCTAGAAATCCATTCCATACAAAAACGAGTTTAAATACAACAATTAAAAATGCATTTTTTTGCATATTTTGGCAATTTTAGAAAAAAGTGCATATTTCTTTATTTTCATATGCTTTTATGCATATTTTTTAATTTGTATGAGATTTATATGTCTGTATAATATTTTCTAAACAATTTGAAGTTTTCTTTCATTTTATTTTTGATTATTTAACGTACTAGTCGCCATACCTTACCGTCGTTATATCATTTTAATTTAACGGAGTGTATTTATCTTTATAGTACTAAGGTGAGCACTATTTAATATTATCAACGTTATCATTAATATAATAGCAATATGGTAAGTGTATTATTAATACTAACGTTATATACAATTATACATTAACCATAATTTCATCAGATGTTGAAGTTTTTCGCGCTACAAAAATATACTTTCAGACAATCATTGTTCGTTTGATATGGAAAATATAAAGAAAGTTCTGATTCTTTAATGCGATACGTTTACAGGTATGACAGTCACAATAATCTATAGGTATGTTTATTGAATTAATAACAAATAAATAAAAAATTTTCAAATAACTTTCATTCTGTTTTTTTTTTTTAGATTGAAAATATTACAATCCATAAGAATCACCAAAAAAATTTTGAATTTAATAGAAACATAAAAACAAAAATTTGTTTTGTATACTTAGTACATTTTTTTTTTAATATTTAATAAAAAAATGTTTATATATTAAATAATTTTTTTTTTCATATTTAACATTTTTTCATGCATATTTTGCCTTTTTTAGCTCCTACAACTTCCGAGCCCTAATAAATTACTCTAGTAACAATTACAAGCTTGAAAAATAAAATAACTGTAACTGTTATTTTAATTTTAAATTGGTTGTTGTTACTTTTTAACAGGTATTTTTTACACTAACAAATGTAACTCGATAAAATCTGAAAAATAATGTATCAATTAGTACGGACAATAGGTACATATTTTTTGTTCAATAAATAATAAAATATTTTAAAAATTTTAAAAATCTTGTAATTTGAAGAATATTTAACTAGTAATTTTTTTTTTCAGGTGATACTATACAGCCACAAATATAATGATTTTTATTTTACACAAATTCTTTATGAACAAAATAACATTTGCCAGGTCACCAAATATAATAATATTACTTTTAAGAAAATGTATTTAATTATATTGTACATAGTGTTACATAAATTAATTATAAATAACTGTTATATTTTGTAATTCTTTCGATCGGTAGCTAATAAACACTAAATAATCTTTACTGAAAAATAACAGTAAAAAAAGGATGAGGAACCCTCATTTAGATATATGAAAATGAAGGGGTAGTAGGTACTATTTTTTTATTCTTGCCACACCGAAAAAATTATAGTTCAACGCCAGTGAACATTTATATATTTCTGTCACTAGCCAGTTAGAATCAAGTCTGTTGACGCGTTTAATGTTACTATTAGTTACAAAACACATAATACAATGGAGCATGTTATTTTTGATACTACTAGTTTTTACTGATATTTAAATGGGTTTTTGTGACTTTATAAACTAATTAAAAACTATATTCTCATTCCTCATCAAAATTTCACACTAAAAAGTATTGCTATCTCATTTTACCATTTTTTGGAACATGTTACCACTGATTTTAGCATACTCATATATAATATTGATTCTAAATGACTGATTTACTAATGTATACTAAAATAATTCATTATGAAATATTGGAAAACTTCCCGAGTTACATTTTCAGCGTAGCATGTCGATTTTTCATGACTGTTAAATTTAAACGTTTTATATACACGGTATGTGAACTGTGATATTAAAACATAAAAATTCAATCAAAAATTTTTCGGTGCTGTTTTTAAACCGTCGACACTTTAGTTCATGGTCAGGTTAGTTTTTGACATTAAACGGTGATGAAAATATGCAAATATACTAATTTAAATTAAATTATTCAATAAAAATATTACTGTGTACTACGTAGTTTTTTACACCAGTCTAGATACATGCCCAGGATTAAAATGTAGGACAGATTCAGTTATAATTATTTTAATTTATATAAGTAGGTGGTATCTAAACATTATTTCTTTTGTGTCAACTATTCATATTTTTAAATTTAATTTTAAAAAAATTATCATATCATGTAACACAATTTCTTCTGTTTGACTCGTTAATAATATTTAAAAATATTAAAAAATAAATAATAATAATAATGTAAAAATATTAATCATAACTAGAGATGTTAAAATACGGTATTTTATTTATTTTTTGTACAATACCGTATTATATCGGTATTATACCAGTATTATATCGTATAGAACCTTGCAGTACCTTAAATTATAAGGAATTTAACAAAGGTTATCACCCTATTTTTAATTATGAAATATAAATTATTTTAAAATAGAATAATTGAAAAAAAATGGCTAAAAAGTTAGAAAAAATTAAAAAAACAATACAAGAATTATTCACCAAATTAATATTTAGTCATGCTATCGATTTGCAATTATGATGTAGGTAACATTCATATGTATTAAATATATAGAAATATATATTTTTTTTTAAATAGAAATAAAGATAAAACTATACTTAATACTTTTATAGTTATGTACTATCTCATATACCTATATATTTACAATATTTGAATATTATATTAGTACATCCCGCATGGGATACCTTAATTGGTAACGGGAGTGACGAACCCGCGGACTCCAGTCTGTGGCGTAGGGAAAGTTGCGCTCCCATCACCCAATACACTCCAAAGTGTGTTGCAATAGTACCACGCTGACTTTAAATAGTTGGCGCGGAACGGCCCTCCAATCTTGGGGGTTGAAAGTCGGGCTAACAACCCGTCCTCACAAAAAACACTCAGTGAAACCATCAAAAAAGCCTCGGAATCGGATTGAAAATGGCAAACAACTGGAATCGGAAAATGGGCTACGTATAGAAACTTGGAACATCAGAACACTAAATAAACCTGGAGCTTTACAATATGTAGTCGATGCTTATAATAACTATACAATCGACATATTAGCAGTACAAGAAATAAGGTGGCCAAATAGTGGAAACCTAAAGAAAGACAAATAACAATAGTCTACAGTAGCACTACTAAGGGAAAGTATGAAAATAGAGTAGGTTTCATAGTATACAACAAGATACTACCAAATGTTAAGACCTTCTTAGCCTTTAATGATAGAATTTGCTATATCCGTATAGCGGGAAAGATATTTGACTTAATTATCATAAACTATTATGCCCCAATAGAGGAAAAAGATGAAGACATAAAGGACAAATTCTATGAAGAACTAGAAAGTGTATATGGCACTTTACCGTTGCACAGTATAAATATAGTAGTAGGTGATGTGAACGCGAAGGTTGGAAAAGAACATATGTATAGACCGGTTATAGAACCTAACAGTCTACGTGAAATTAGTAACGGAAATGGAATCAGACTGATCAATTTTGCACATTCAAAGAATTATATAATAAGCAGTATATACTTCCCCAGAAAAAATATACACAAACTCACTTGGAAATCCCCTGACGGAAGAACATTTAATAAAATTGACCACATACTTATCGACAGTTATCGACAGGAGATTTAGGGGATGCATAAGGAATGTGAGAACGTATAGAGGAGCTGATGCAGACTCAGACCACTACCTAGTGTATGCGAAATTTAACCTGAGACTGGCAACAAAATGGAATTTGGAAAAAAAAGAAACCTACAACAAAGAAGGACATATAAAAATTAAATGATACGGAAATAAATTATAATTACGTTGAGAAAATTGCACATAAATTACAAAATATTAATATAAATCAAATAACCTATAGTACAGAAACTGATACGATTTGGAACAGAACAAAGGAAGCGGTGATTAATAGTGCAACAGAGATTCTAGGAATGAAACCAAAAGAAAATAATAAAAACTGGTTCAACGATATATGTAAGAATGCAATAATCAGAAGAAACGAACTGAGGAAAAAAGCACTACAAAATACATCAGACGAATGCATAAGAGAATATGAAGAACAAAGAAAATTGACAAATAAAGCGTTAAGGAGAGAAAAACGTCTACACGAAAAGAAGAAAATAGAAGAAATAGAATTTAATAGATACAACGCAAAAAAGTTTTTCAAAATGACCGGGGAAATAAAAGTTGGCTTTAAGCCACAAACAAGGATCTTAGTCGACGATACGGGAACTACGATCACAGAAGAAAAACTAGTCATTAACCAATTCAAGGAACATTTCGAAGACCTCCTGAACCGACCCACAATAGGGCATGATTTAAACCCAAGCGAAGACTGCCAAACAGCAGAAATAGATACAGACACTCCCAGATACGAAGAAATTGAGAGTTTAATTAAGAGGCTTAAAAACAACGAAACCCCAAGAGAGAACAGCATAGAAGCAGAATTACTTAAAAAAAGGTGGTACAATGTTAATGAGCAAAATTACAGAAGTTATTAAGACAATATGAAAAACTGAGACAATTCCAGAAGAATGGAAAACTGCAATTGTATGCCCAATATTTAAAAAGAGAGACCCCACTAAAACTGAGAACTATAAAGGAATTTCGTTACTGGACACATGCTATAAAATTCTGACGACACTAATATTAGAAAAAATAAACCCGTATGTTGAAGAAATAGTTGGGAATTACCAATGCGGGTTTAGGAGAGGAAAATCCACAACAGACCATGTCTTCGCACTAAGATAGATAATGTCAAAATACTACGAATTTGGAAAGGATCTGCATCTAGTCTTTGTGAATTACAAGCAGGTGTACGATAGTGTAGACAAAGAGGAGCTTTGGAAAGCACTGGTAATTTTAGGAATATCCAAAAAGTATGTGAACCTAATAAAAGCATGCTACGAAAAAACATTATGCAGAGTGTGTTATATGCAAGGCATCTCAGATCCTTTTGAAGTTAAATCTGGCCTTAAACAAGAGGAAACGCTGTCACCTGCATTATTCAACTTAGCCCTCGAAAAAATAATGAGAGACACAAACGATGACAGAAGGATGGAGACAAGCAATGAACAAGTTATGTTAGCCTATGCAGATGACATTGTGCTGATGGGTGAAACCAAAGAGGAAATCATCAATTCAATATCTAAACTCATAAATGCAAGTAAAGGAATAGGACTACATGTAAACGAGGGAAAAACTAAGAACATGGTCGTATCGAGAAGACCACCAAATATAGTTTCCATGGCAGTTGATAATTATAAATTTGAAAAATTGATAATTTTAAGTATTTAGGCGTAAACATCAATAATAAAAATGTTATACATATAGAAATAAATGAACGGATAACTAGTGGAAATATATGCTATTTCAGTATTATTAAACTCCTGAGATCTAAGCTGTTATCGAGAAGATCAAAAATACTACTATACCATAGCTACCTTCGACCTGTGATAACATATGCCTGTGAAACTTGGTCGTTTACCAAAGGTGATAGCAGAAGACTTATCACGTTCAAAAGGAAAGTGTTACGAACCATTTATGGACCAATATTTAACCCAGAAACACAGTCATACGAAAGAAGAAGTAACAAAAATGTAAAGTCTCTTTATAATAAACGAGACATACTCTACTTTATTAGGAAAAAACGACTAAAATGGTTCGGACACGCATGGAGAGCAGATGGACAGTTAATTAAAAATGTACTAATCAACAAAATAAATAAAACGAGACCCCTAGGACGACCCAAAATCCGATAGATTGACATAGTTGCCAAAGATATAGTAATGATAGACCAGGACGCAACTTTAGAAACAGCGTATCAGAATAAGAGATGGAGAGAGATTTTGATGGCAGCGATGGTCCTGAATGGACCGCTAAGCTGATAAAGAAAGAAAGAAGATTATATTAGTACAATAAATTTATTTCAGAGGCGGATCCAGAGGGGGCGAATGGGGCGATCGGGGGGGGGGGGGGGACGTAGCAAACTTTAGTTTTTGACGTAATTACTTCAAGGGTAAATAGGGAAATCTTAAACTATTTTTTTTATACCAAACTTATGCTGGTACTATGTTATCACTTGTATTTATTGTTTGGTAATATACTGATATCACGGTTATACTACTACACGGTTTAAGATATACAGGTTAGCTATCGTTAACTGAATTGCATTGATAGCTAACGGTCAGAATGTGTTACCTACTTGTTCAGTACACATTTTCGCCTCATCTGTAAAGCGTTAGTAGAATGTAGGGCTATATTATTACAATAGTTATAAGACAAATTTAAATAATTTACCAGAGGCTGAGCTTATTGATTTAAAATCAAAATGAGGATTAATCCATCCAAATTTACATTTATTTCAATTTCTATACATAGTAGAAGAATGCTTTGCAGAACACTGCAAACAAAAAACCGTATTTGATCTAACAGTAGAAGATGCTTTAAATATTTCTTTTACACTTCCATGCTTCGAACAAATAATATAATCATAACTATTCTGATACATTTCATTGTGATGGGAATGCACCACTTTGCAGTTTAAAATTATCGCCAAGAAATTTAAGAGTAGACTAAAGAAAAAAAATAGCCTAACTAATCTCAACTTAAATAATACAGATTTTTGCTTATTTTTTTATTAATATATTGTTTCTTGTATTGTTTAACCGCATTATTTTAAAATATTATTAATTTATTTAGATATCTAATTTTAATTCACACAGAAAATTTCCCTGATGTTTAAATGCTAAAAATCACTTATTTTATTAATATTAAAAATAAACTCATTTTGTCAAATTTTGAGATAAGTACTTTAGTTGTAGTTTAAAAGATATCAAAATTATTATTTTTAATTTTATCTACATCATGTGTGTCCGTTAAAAATCGCCTCCCTCCTGTTATCTAGGTTTGGATCAACCCTTGTTTAATTTTATTAATTTTTAACACCTGAATTCTAAATTAACACGATTACAATAATATTGTATATTTTTAATTTTTATAATAATACTGTACTTTATTGGAGATCCATTCTATACGTACAACTAAAAAATTAATAGTTGAGTTACTAAAAATAACGATTTCATTTTTTTTTTTATATTGTCTGTATAAAATAATTTTATACCATGTGTATAATATCTTGTATAATACAAACTCACATCACTTATTATAACTATTTGAAAATAGGATTGACCTGGGCCTACCGCTGGTACGCCACTGCATCTTAGTTTACAGAATTTTTTGTACAGTCGTTGCCAGATAAATTGAGACGGCGGCGGCGGCGCTTTTCATGAAGTGTAGCCCAAACTAGTCGCTGATAATGTGGTGCAAAGGTCTTACAGTTAGCTACGACGCGCGCAGTTACCAGTTCGAACCCGGCTTAGTGCAAAAAATTGCCTGCAGAATTTTCTGTTCTCTCTCCCGTTCTGGTTGCCCTACACTGCTAAAAACAACTAACCTAACCCGGTGTGTTTTGACCGCGCAAGCACTTCAGTCGTATCAACAATATTTGTTTATAATAATGCATATAGATGTTGTTATTATTTCATCATATTATTAATATTATGTGTTATGATTATATTAATTATATTATTTTACAATTTCTACTTTTTGTTCTTAAATAAAAAATTATTATCAGAATATATGATTTGAAATTAATATCGTAAAATATTTTTTGTAACAATAGTTGGTTTATTGATATATTTTCAGTAATAATATTGAAATACGGAGGACCACTGGTTTTCCGTTATCGCGCCGCCGCCGCCGTCTCAATTTATCTGGCAACGACTGTAAATACGGTTGTAAGCACGGATCTTTATAACACAATGTAAATGAGTTTATAATCGATCTTTCTGACATTGAATGGAGCAGAGATATTTTATGACATCATATGCATATATAAGCAGTTAACTATTTACAAATTACAATAATAATAAAAAGTATTATTTATTTATTTTTATATACTGCTGAGAGATATGAACTTATATTTAATATTATTTTACAATATACAAAAATATTTAGATAAATCCATTGATTATTTGTATTTAAATTCAATGGTACCCAGAGGCGTATTTTAGGGGAACGAAGGAGCGATCGCCTCCCCCTGAATCCGTATTTAAGAAATTGATTACATGTAAGATACACATTCCAAATTATTTTAATGTGGATCATTTTATAACGAAATTAAATTATGCATGGTTGTGAATACTGAATTGAGCTTTTTGTCGGGTTCATACTTAGTGAAAAATCAAATAAAACACAACCGTAACTTTCAAAACACAGACTGGTATTAAAAAAGAACTACACAATAGTCGATTCTAAGTGAATCCAGCATTAGATTAAAAAAAAAAAAAAACCACAAATATGGATTCACCTGATTTAAATATTACCAAAAATAATGCTTGTAAATTTTGAGCCGAATATATGGAAAAAATTTGAATCACACCCCCCCCCCTCCTCTAGAAGTAAGTCAAAATACGCCCCTGATGGTTCCTACTTGTATATTGAACATTATAATATATATATTATTTTACCTACCGCATCATTGTCGTGTTTACGCATGCGTATACGTACAATGGAAGAAATAACTTCAGTTATAGAAGAGTACAGAAAGCCTTGGAATCTTTGGGCAGTTCTGAGACTCTACTTCCTTAAAATAATTTAAAATGCTAATAAATTTAATTCCAAAATTATTCGTGGTAATTGTAGTTATGATTATCATTAAAGTTGAATGGTTGACGGCAGGGCCGTCCCGAAGATGAAAATCAAGTGAAATTGAATAATACGAAAAATGCAGACTACAATTTTTTTACTCGATGTATGTAGTATAATCAACTATATGTAGTCGTATTTTTACTTTTTAATATGCAGACCCGTATTTAAAAATTTGGTGCCCCCAGGCATATAATTTATGCCCCCCCCCCCAAAAAAAAAAATAAATATTAATGATATAACATTTATTATTTCGTCCATAATTGAGATTCTTTAATACTAAAATATAACTTGACAATCATTTAATACTTTTTTTAATTAACAAATTAAATAAATTATAACATAATAAAACATACTATTTCCTTTTTTTTTTTTTTATAATAATATAATGAAAATACAATTTTTTTTTTAATTTACAAATTATAACATAATGAAACATGGTATTTTATTTTTTTTATTGTTTTATTTTTTTTTTTTTTTATTAGGTATACTATTTTTAAAATTAATGTTGCTAAAATATTTTGTCGTCCCTGAGACTAAGCCCTCGGGCATGTGCTTACCCGTGCCCCCCCCCCCCATTAAATACAGGCCTGTTAACATGTATACATGTGTCAGTGTCGCACGTTCTTCAAATTGACAGTTTAGTTATATATATATATTTTATATTGTATAATAAGTAGTTATATAAATTTTATTCGTGTATACACTGTATTACGAAATATGTAATATTTTTCAGTAAGTAAAATTAGGTCCTTCTAGACTATAATGAAACAAGTCCAACTGCCAACTGATGTTTTCGTTTGGGGAGTGAGACCCCCCCCAAGACCGGCCCTGGTCAACGGCAGACATACGGCATCAGAAGTAAAATTATATTATCACCATGCGATATAAACGCCAACGGCCATTCAAAATAATAACAATAAATTGGAACTCACCGCTTATAATTTTGCACTTGGAATTAAATGAACGGTTACAGTAAAACCAAAGATATTTATGAATACAAATTAGAAATAACGTAAAAATACACTTGGATTATCGATAAATTAATAAGTATAACCTCTATCGTGTTAAATGTGGTAATATAGTTTGGCTTTGGCGTGTGTTCTATTGTTCTGTAGTTTACTGATCCCTATAGTGGTACGCACATTATTACTTTTATTTGATAAACAGTGCCGTAAATACACTAACTTTGATGTACGATGTGTATAAAACAAAATAAATTCGTTATTAATCAGTATCCATTAATTATTATTATTATAAAATGGTTTTATTTTCTTGTTTTTTACATATTTTCCAAATATTATTATTGAGCCCTTATAAACTAAGGGCCATGGACCCGTGTGTTTGATACACACAACATACCCGATTATTACGACAATATTAATAATTGTTAATAAGAGGACGTCACACCCGTATGTGTTGTCTCCGTCTGACATACATACAACATAGCAAATTTTCGTTCAATGATTCAAATGTAGTGATGTTAACTTTAATATTAGAGTAAACTGACCTATAATCAAACTTTAAGGAAGAACATTATCTGTGTTTTTTTGGTCGGTTTTTCCGATATTTTAATTTTTTATCGAGTTATGATATTTTTTTAAATGCTATAATTTACATACTCATAACACGCATAAAAATTAAAATATCGGAAAAAACCGACCAACAAAACCTACAAGTAATTCTTAACTACTCAATTTATATCCTAATAAATAATATCAGAGTAAAGAAAACACTAAAATTATTGATTGAATTGACTGTAGTGAATAAAAAACCATTTAATCAAAGAAAATATTTAACAATAGAAGGATCATTAAAATATAGTAAATAATATAGTATAAAAATGAAATAATTCTAAACTAAAAAAAATAAATAAAAAAAAACATTTTCTTAAAAATATAAATGACAGACAAATATTTATACCCTACTCAACTAAAAATGTCTTATAGTAATACAAATAAAATTCATCTACATTCACATATCCTCTTCCATAAAAAAATAAATAGTGAAAATAATCCAGGCAAGTATCAACATTACACTTCAAATTAGACATGCTTAAAATGCAAGTCTTCTTATTTTCAACAATACAAATATTTGTTGAATAATATAACAATATATTATGGTGTCCAGTAGGTTAGGTGAGGCAATATAAATCTTTTGCAGCTTTATCCGAATAAAATGATACATTTAACAACTCTAATATAACAAGTTTTTTTACAGCAAGAGTTCTAGTTTTGAATTTAAATTTTTTTTTAAAAATTATAATTGCTGCTTCTGGTGCTACTAATGTGTATAGGTGTTGAAAATTCTAAATAAATAAAGAAAACATAAAATAATAAATTAATTTGAATCTATATATATATATTTACTCACTTGGAATTCATGTACAGGAACATTAAATATTTCTCTTAAAGACATAAGTATACAAAACTTTTGATCTGGATTGAACATTGTTTTATAAAATTGAGTAGAAATACTCAAAGATTTCTAGAAAATGAAAATCAGATTAAACAATAATAAATAACCAAATATTGCCATTTTTGTAAATTATCAAGAAAATGCACAGTTTATGAAAAACTAAAATTTATTTTTAATATGTATTAAAAGAAGAAGTTTAAAAAGCATACTATTAAAATTATTCTCAAAATACCCACATACAAGAAAACTAGAGTGAAATATCATAGAAACGAAGAAATATTATATTTTGACCAATTTTTTCTCAATATAATTTAGGATGAAGTGAACTTTGATTAAAATTTACGACAAATTTTTCTAAAAACACATTCAGAAATTACTTTAAGAAATTCTATTATCTATAATCTATAAAAAAAACTTAACAAAAAAAAAAAATAAAAATCATTTTCATAAAAGTTATACATTTCTTACGTAAATGATAAATACTCGTATGTTACAATATACATTTAAAAACTGATGATATTAATCTCCAGTAAAATGTATAAAAAAATAATACGAATTACCTACCTTATTTGGAGGATTATTTAGAATTTCTGTTAATTCTTCCCTGCTTTCATTTAAAATCTTCCGAATTGTTGAAACTTTAATTTCATGTAATGTCGAATAACTATATATACATTATATATTAAATACAAATTGTTATAAAGTCATTTTTCTTATTTTTATTTAAAAAAATTATTGAAAATATACAACTTACATGTTATCCAATGATAACTCTTCTTTTACCTTTTTTTTTGTTGGTAATAATGTATTATTTTCTATAATAATAAATATCACATTATAAATTTTCAACATGCGTCATTAAAAACTTATAAATATTACCTTGGTGTACTATAGGTTCTGAATTTATATTTGGTAATACATAACCTGTAAATTATTATTATAACTATAAGCAATTTCATTAAAAGTTTTCATATATTTTAGTTCAAATATAACATTTATTTACTTGCATAATCAGGTCTATCGCCTTCATAATCAAATTCACAGTCAACATCTGGCTTAACATCTTATACATAAATATACAACCAAAATGTTTATAAAAATGTTAAATTAATATTTTTTTTACAATAATTTTAATTCTTACCATATGGTAAATACTTTCTTTTATTCGTTATTACTATTTGAGGGTTCTGAGATGACTTTAATGTATAAGCTACAACAAAAAACAAATCATTTTAATCAGAATTATTATGTATGCAGTGCTCAAATTGGGAAAAAATTAAGTAGATGAGCTCAGTCCAACGATTTTAAAACTGCGTTCCACGTGCGCAATTACTTGACAAAGGCCCGTGGGGGGTTTCGTCCTTCTCCCCTCTCCACCAACCTTAAATATATTTTGAATACTACTTTTCAGCTAAAGAAATATTTAAATTCCATATATAATATATTTTGATAGCAATACCAACATCCTATATGTTATAATAGAAAATAAAAATAAAATAATAATTAACATAGGTAATTGTAGGCGATCAAGCAGTCTCATAAATCGAATAATATAATCATATATTTGGTTTTTGTTTTTATCTATTTTTACTCTTTAATGCGGGCCACGGCCATAGAAGATTAATCTAAGGTCGTGGTGAGGGCATTTATTTTTTTCCGATATCGTCGATATCGCCAATATTAATAACAAACCGTACAATGTATAAAGTATAATACAAGCTGCATGTCCCCAGCCCCCCCCCACCTCGGACTTTCGACTTCAAATTTTTACAGTCGTTTGTGCTTGTTTGTGCTTTTATTCCCGTCGTTTGTGCTTAACCCGTTTGCGGGATGTTAAACATTGAAGGAGGGAGGTGCCTAAGGACATGCTTAATAAATTCAAAATATATTTAAACACACTTTTTGTGTATATTGTTTTATCAACACATTTTATAAAGTAAACTTAGTATATGTAAGTAACCAATTTTTTATTTATTATCGACCTATTCGTTTATTCCAAGTTTGTGCAGATTTGTGATCAAATTTCGGCAGAAAATTCTGATTTACTTGGGTTTTTTTTCATACTTTAAGTAATGACCCACATAACTTTTTTAAAAATGAATTTGCATACAAAATAATAAGACCTTTTCTCTTTGTTTATATTTGAGAAAACCAAAACAACACGTTCATTATTAAAGGATATCTATTTTCCAATTTATAAATGCCAATCACCTTTTTTAAATTAAATAACATTCAAACAATTATTATTATATCATTAGCTTTTTACACAGCATATATTTATATAATAAAATATTTTTCATATGACAAATTTTCTTAGGTATACATTTAATAAAAATGTAATCATTTATTGATTTCTTGAAATTTAAAGTAATTCTACAATAAATATGAAAGTATATATATGTAACATTTTATAAAAGTTTTAAATTAAAATTACAAAAAATATTTTACTAATAATAACAAATTTGATATAGGTATAAGAACATTTCAACATTAATTACAAACATTAAAAAAAAAACAGATATTATAATAGTTATTTACGTAAAAATTAAAACGTATGAACATTTTAATTAAAAAATAAAAGACACATTACAGTTTTTAAGTTTTTGAATAAAATTTTAAATTAAAACATAAATTAATTATTTAAAATACATTATTTAAAATGCTTTTTGACTTATTCAAATTATACAAATATACTAACATTAGTAACCTAATACTTTTTTATTTAGTGTACAGTATGAATTGACAGTTAACCTTTGTGGATGCTCTTACGTATCGTGTGGAATGCAGTTGGTCATCACATCGTTCCCAAGTATTATTAGTTTCCCTCCAATTGTATGATACATAATGCCCAATTGCATTAATGTTTTTGGATTTTGGTATTATGAAATTAATAATACCTCTGAGTGTGAATTTGTTATGTAGCACATTTATTGTTGTTGGAATGTCACTCAAAACGACAATTAATTCAAAGTCTAATTTTTTTTTTTCCCAACTCAAGACTTTGGAAAACAGGTTCAATGAAAAATTTTTTACAAATGTAAAATTTGTTTTAAATTTTGTACATGGCCCGCAACGTGCCAAAAACCATTTTTGACCACGGGACGGTGAAGATAATATAGTAAAGGAACTATTGCTATTACTGATTCATTCATCCTCACGACATTAACAGATTTTGTTATAAAATTAATAAACTTGTATTAACGTTTTGTTGATATTTTATATCTACTAAAAGCAAATCGAAGGTGATTTGCGTACTTATGCAATTTGATCAACCATGTGTTATTTACTATTATAAATTATAACTTTTTAACTATTTGCTAAATAGACATCAGTCCTGTAAAGTATTCGAATACTTTTTTGAAGTATTTATATGCTATTCTGAATACAATTTATTTTATTTATTTTTTAAGTATTTTGATTATTTCTTAATTGTATTTTTACTAAAATTTAAATACTTGTATTAAAATACCATTAAGTATTTTATTAATTTTAATTTATTATTTTTAAAAAAAAATTGATTTTGTTGAAAACTAATATTATGTTTTTGTATAGTAAAAGTAGGTAAGTAATAACAATGTAACCACACTAAGTACCACATTACATTTTATATAGAGTCTGTATTGGAATTTTTTAAGAAAACTGAAAATCTAATAAATTTAAAATAGTTTCATATTAACAGTAATATTACCAATTTTTATTATATTTTTTTCATTGAAATTTAATCATTATTAGTTGAAATATATGTGAAGGTACCTATACTGGTGTACAATACATATATATAAATAATATAGCATAAAATTAAAAAAAATACTTGGATTTGTATTCAAATACTTTGTAAGTATTCATAAAATATATTTTTATAATAGTATTTTAAAAGTATTTTTAATACTTTTTTATTCGAATACTATTATTAGTATCTTAATACTTTTTCCAAAGTATTGTTTACAAACTGTGTTTACGGTTAGACACGTAGGTATGCATAAGTTTCAGTGCGAATTCGCAGTAGCCTGCCAGATCTAAAATTCCGTGGCCGGATAAAATGGTCGCTTAAACGTCAATCCAAATTTAAAAATGACAAAATAAAAAAGGTTTCATACAATTTTAAAAACGTGTTATGATATTATCATAGAAGTTTTTTTCAAAATGAAAATTCATCAATAATTATTATATCGCTTCGGGGTTTTGGTGAGAAGAGCTCTTATTGTTTTAAAATACACGTAAAAATATCAAATATTTAAATTTTTGTACGCAAATTAATTTAAAAAAAAAAAATAAAGTGGGTCATTATAAAAAAAATCCCAAGTAAATCAGAATTTTCTGCTGAAGTTTGATCACAAATCTGCACAAACGTGGAATAAACGAACAGATAAATAAGAAATAAAAAAATTGGTTAGTGTCGAGGCTAAGTCCTTAGGCCCCTCCCTCCTTCAATGTTTAACATCTCGGAAATGGGTTAAGCACAAACGACGGGAATAAAAGCAAAAACAAGCATAAACGACTGTGAAAGTTTGAACTCGAAAGTCTGAAGTAGTGGAGGGGGGGTGAGCATGTCCCTAGCCCCCCCACCTTGAAAGTTCAATAACTCGGAAAAGGGTTGAGCACAAACGACGAGAATAAAAGCACAAACAAGCACAAACGAAGCACAAACGACTGTAAAAATTTGAAGTCGAAAGTCCGAGGTGGGGGGGCTGGGGACATGCAGCTTATAATACACCAAATTCACAGACATTACTATTTATATTTTTCCAGAAATGACAACGTTATCATATATAGTTGGAATACGCAAAAAAAAAATAAAAAAAATAGTAGTGGAGCTCTGTCTCCCTGCGCAACCCCCCCTCAAATTCGAGCACTGTATGTATATATAGCTTAGATAATATAATACAATTTCACAATGAAAATGATCACAATGTTATTATAATAATTATTGATTATTATTTTTTAATTGCTATTTATCAAAATATTTATTCTGAGATATTACAATGAAAAATGTAGATCAAATCAAAAGGAAACAAAGAAATAATCAATTTTAGACAGGTTTATAGTTATTCACAACCCAGGATGGTTCCGTATTTATTTTGAGAAATCCTACACATTTCTAAGTTATTAATTAGTTTAGATAGCAATGAAGATATAAAGAAAATTTGATGCAACATAATTTGTCATACCTATTTAGAAGTATAAAATTATTTTATGTATAGGTATGCACAGTAGTGTATTCGTAATTTTTTTTAGGGTTTACCCTCGACACATAAGCGTTTATTGGTGAGAGGGGGTGGGAGCTAAATCCCTTAAAAAGAAATGTTCTACCTACCTAAACTCAAAATTACATAATACGATGGGGACGTGGGATATACCCCACCAGACTTTTTTCCTAAGAGGGGGGGTGTACAACATTTCAACAAAAGTATTTTTGGGGGATTTCAAGTGGGCGCGCGTCCCCTTAGTCCCCTTGGATCCACGCCTGTTATGGAAGTCTACATTTTAAACTCATCTTTAATTAACTCATAGGTATATATCATACATGAAACATAATATTTATGTTAATATTTATTTTCATGGAACCTAATGTTTTATTATGTGTAATGATATTATAACGTTATTCCAGCCCCTCCCGCCAGTAAAAATACACGTTTTAAAAAAATTTATTTTGCAAATAATTAGTACGCAATTTGTATGAATTTGTACTACTATTTTCCGAATTTGTACGGAGCTCATTCACCGAGAAAAATTCGTTTTTCACGGGAGGAGCTGGAATACAGTTATTCACAAAATAAGTGAAAATATGTAACAAACATTGAGAGTTATTTGACGACATAAAAAAAAAAACCAATACTTGTCAAAGAAACTACTAAAGTTTCAGGCGAAATAATGATGTATTCAATATAAAAACTAGTCAGTAGAATTTTTTAAGTCAAATTTTTGTATGTAAATTGAGTATTAACAAAAAAATTAACAATCGGATATTTGCAAGAATAGGGGTGGCAGAAAAAAAATTAGCCACAAAACTTGAAATACATCTGTGTACATCAACATAAAACAAAGTTTACTGAGACAGGATTAATTGTATGAAAATTAAATATAAGAAGGGGCAAACTCTTGAAAGTGAGAATACTGAATGTTTGTATTATAATAGTTCATCATTCTTTAAAAAGTTCTAACCGATCAACTGCAAATTTTAAAATAAATCTCTAAATCAATTTACTAGAAAAAATAGTCAATCTGCAAAACTCTGGTTATTTTCGTAACAATTGTGAATAATTTTAAATAAACTGTAACATTTTAAAACCTTTTTTTGACATAAAACCGTGTTTAAATTTAAAATGATTGTAATATACTATTTATTTACCTTCCAAATTCTGAATTGAGATAACCAATTTTTATAGTCATTATATATATTTATCTTACATATTATTATGTATCTATGTAAATAATATAACTTATAATATTACTTGTAACATAGCAATATTTTGAGACTAAAAATATATTTTAAGTACATTCATATCACTATTACCTGAATATCTAACTTCATGTTGATCAATTTCTGGAACTACATCCAAAAACGATTCATTGACTGAATAGTACATTCTCATGGTTACCAATCTTAATGTATGGAATAAATCGAAACGCCTACCGATCTAAAAACAAAAAATATAATTATATAGCACATGTTTTTGTGTTTATATTATAAACAATATTTGATAAAAATAAATTCATTAAAAAAATTAATTATTTTAAACACCCAAAATGTATTGTTTCATTTTGTTAGCTATATTATTTTTAGAGAAACCATTACACAGCAAATGTGTCATCGATGATATTAAAACTAAATTGCAAGCATTTTTAATGCCTTTTGACCAGTCAGTGCACCATAAATTAAATTATTTTGATGGGAACACAATTCTCACCAATCATTATCAAAATCATAATCGGAGCAACATAAAAGCTAAGAAATTATACATTACAGTATGGTTAAAAAGAAATATTCCGGTAAAATAATAATAATAACAAAATTTTAACTCTAAGTACAGTAAAACTTCTCTAAGACGGACCTTGATAAAATTTTAAACTTAGAAAAATAAAAAATGTATTTGGTAATTCTAAAGAATTGCTATACCTATTGACTTATCTAAAAAAGCTGAAAGCTATATAAAAGTGGAATTTTTTTTTGATCTATAACAATTCCGTCTTGGACAGTTTAAATTGTACAAATTACATCTACGGAACACAATGTATCTTTTATGTTTTATTATATTAACTTGGCTTTATGTTGTTAATGTCTTAATAACAGCATTCAATATAATAATAATAAAAGGTAATTAATATAAAATGTTTATAATATTTAAACTTTAATTTTTACTATACTATATATAACTATATATAAATATATGTTCTTCTTCTTCTCCTTCGCAATTTTCCCAACTGTTTAGGGTTGGCCACTCTTGTCCAAACCTTTATTTGTTTCGATTTTCTACATCCCCCTATTAATTTTTACTATATAGTTAATTCCAAAACTACAATGAAACAAATCTTAAAAACACCACATAGTAATATTTAACTCGCATTACTAGCTACTTCTACAGCATTTTTTCGATACTGATTAATAACTAGAAACTTCATTACAAGTAAAGTAAAATTCAGTATACTGCATACTCCAAATTATTTTAAAAACAATATCATGGAGAGGACTTATCGTTTATAATGTTTGGCAATATTGTATACCTATCTCTTAATGTTGGGCAGTAGAATGCATGAAATTATATGTGATTTTTTCAATGTTAGAATGATAAGTGAAGTAACAAGATAACATAAAATAAAAAAGCACGGACTATGATATAATATATATATATATATCTTAGTGTATCGAAGGTATAAAAAATATCAATCATACAGTAAGATAATAGGTTGAAATCGAAATGGTCGGGAATATTATAAAGAAAGATAAAACAGATTAATAATATAAATTACCATAGAAATTGAAAATTATACTGAAAGAAAGTAGAATATCAAAAATATGGTTAGATCGTTAGAATGTAATTGAATGATATAATATTGATATGAGTACGGCTGGTGTATGTGTAAATATAATATATTACTATGTCTATGGGAGATATGGATGAAACATAGTTATCCCAAATTCCCAAATATTTGTAATCAAAGGCAAAGAAGTATCATTTAACAAAACGTGGTAAACTGGTTACAATTTATTATTATACAGAGATTTTAAACAATAACAAAATATTGTTTGAAATCTCTGGTATAATGTTAAACTTTAACATTTGATTTATCAATATGGTTAACAATGAGATATTTATTCGTGCCTGATATTGTATTGTATTTAATATTTGTGTAGGAATATTTAACAAATAATGAAGTTTTTACAATCGATCAAGTATATGATGTCGAAACTAACAAAATGAGCAAGCTCATAAATCCTTATATAGTAGTCATTCAACAAGATGAAGTATTAGAAACGTATAGACTTAAACGAATAAAAGTTAGCCTATATAAACACGCATAATACTTAAATTTACTTCTTAATAATTGTTATTGAGCTTGTAGATTGTCAATGCTGAAGCAAAGGAAAATGTGATTAATAAAGAGTCTAATCCTCATTATCTTGGTTGTTATGCAGACCTAAAACGTTCAATTTGTAATAGAATCACGACAAAAGAGACTCCTATCAAATACAGTGAAGTATATAATAATTTTACTTCAAGAAACAGTAAGTCTGTAGGTAGTTTAATTTTCTTAGGGATTTTGTTGTTCTTGTAATATGGCGACCAATATCGAACGACAACTACATGACTGTCAAGGACGAAGCCGATTTAAGCACGTTATCCACACAAGAAATAATTATAAAGACAAATTTGAAATAATCATCAATCAAATAGTAGATAATATTACCTTGGACAGTGATGAAGTATATGATAAGAGATCAAGTTCAACAAATCAAATACGAGGAGGTCAAAATTGTGAAAATTTAAAAACACCAAAATATATAGATGAACCCTACCGGTATCATGAAAGTAGTCATTGTTTGCAATTCAGTGATTTATGGTAAGATTTTTGTATGTAATAGGTATAATGTATTATAATATAATATGTTATTTTATCATTTCCAGGTATAACATTAACAAATTAGAATCTGCGTCCTATTACCATTCAGTTACAATAAGTGTTTATGAAAAATATTCAAAGAATGATAAACCGGCATACAAAAAAATTATTTCTAAAGTCAAGTAAGTACTTAATAGCAAAAAAGACTTGTCTAATTATGAATTATATACTATAATTATATGAACGTAAGTATATCACTTAATTCAATAAATACATTCAGATATAATTGTACAGATCAACTGTTATACAGTTATACTGTTGTACAGATCAACTGTTAACTATAAAAACTTAAATGATTATTTTTTTTTGCATTATTTTAGTGATTAATTTAATGAACATTATAAATAATTGTAATATTTTTATTGAAAATTAAAAAAAATAATAATAATTGAAACAGAAATATTTCGATTGAAATATAATATGCAAACTAAACTTTAAAATATTAAAACATAATTGTTATTTTAACTTAATACTGTATCACAATATTTAAAACTATTTAATAAGAAATAAATAATAGGAAAAAAAAATTACATAGGTTAAGTACAAAAAACAAGAATTACAAAAATAAAGACTCAACTATGCAAACAAATTTTGTGGCATTAACATTTGGAGATAATCAATATTATAGTTTGGATGTAGATCGCGATAGACTTTTAATACCAAGAAAAGTACCACCTATAGTTGAACACCAGTATCCACAAGCAGTGGGTGATTATAAAAAAAAAATAAATAATAAAAAAAATAATAATAATAAAAAAATATATTTTAGATGACCCCAAAAAGTATTTAGTTGTAAATGCAAATAATATAACTATCAAAGGTGATGAATGTAATAAAGTTGGAGTATCATATGAAGCATTCTATAAACAGTATAACAGATGTGGTGAGCCAAGATCTAGTTGTTTGAAAAATCAACCATCACATTTATGGGAAAATGATATGGTAGGTTTACAAGGCTGATTAATTATAACTTAAATAATTAAATTAAAAAAAAACTTTTTGTAAAAGAACATAGGGAAATAAATATCAAGCACCAGAAAATGACATTAAAAGTCAGAATTAAATTATTTAAATGTTGTTTTATATGTCACTTCCAGTTTTTCCTCACATGTTATCTATTAATTTAAATAATAAAATAGACAGTCATACATATTTACTAAATTTTTATATTAATATTTTATTGTTTTCTTATCACTACAAGAACGCAATGAACTCAGGAAATCCTGGAAATTATTTTTTAGAAAATTTTGTTAAATTCCCACAGAATACTGATATTGTTAAAAAAATCGATGAAAAAGAAACATTAAATTTGCTGTATGAAATGGACTATACTAGTGAATTATTGATCCATTCAATAACAAACTACAACAGCGCTCTTTCAACAAAGTAAATTAAAACTTAAAAATAATATTAAAGACAAATATTTTTTTTTTTTTTTATTAGCTATTAGTATAAGACAAATATTTAACTGATGTTTTAATTTATTACTTTAAAATGTAATTTCTTGTAATTATTCCTATATTTTTAGAATAATAAAAAAAAATATTGTTTTTTAAATTTATGCATTTAGATTAGATTAGATTATTATTAATAATGCATAATCAAATTTATCAAATATATTAAATGTTTCTAAAAAAAAAAAATCAAAAATAACTTTTTAGTGACACATTCCATTATTTTAATTATAATAGTAAATAATATAATACTGACATTTTTGAAAAATATTTCAATTGCTCTAGATCTATTCTAGAAATTGTAGAAATATATTCAGATGCAACTAAAAATGAACTAACTACAGTTGTTGCAATAATATATAACATTGGAATGATAGCTGATGTATTTAAAGTGCAGTTAATACAATTTCCATTAAATTCAGCAAAAAACTTCACTAAAATACAAAGTTTTGATGCACAGATTTTTCCTTTTCATCGATATAACTATATTTTAAAAGTATATGGATCACTGATTAGTTCCAACATCAATTGTACAAGTAAAATTTCAGATTAATCACCAAATATAAACATTGTAAATATCTACTATTAAATTATATTTTTGAATAGTACAAGTATTAGATCAATTGAATAAAGTAATAGCTTGGAGACATGTTCTAATAAGTGAAGCAAACCGTTGTTTTTGTGTGTGGAAATGTGCATGTTCTTGTACAACTATTGAAAATCAATCATTTACATCTGATTGTAAAATGATATCTAAAGAACAGTATAACAATGCTGGATTTCAAGGTGCACTACCTCCAATATTAAACAACAATACAAAATGGAATATAATTCATTTGACAGTTATAATCTTAGCAACATATTGTATTATAATATTTTTGATTGGTAAAATATAAACACATTTAATGTGTGTCAGTATATAAAAATATAAATTTGCAGGTATAATTAAAGCATTTATTGGATTGTGTTATAAGCCAATAGGATCATTTGGACTTAATCTAATATTTCATGAAAAATCAAAAAATTTAAAGTACTACTTGGAACCAGAAATATGCTCAATCTGTGTTATTTATGATACAAATGGTTATGCTGTGCATCCATATTCTAAAAAGCGAACAGTTCAATTGGTTTCAAAGTAGTTTAATTCATAAGTTCAAATTTGAAATTTAATTTATACCCATTTATTTTCTAGAGAAAAAGAATTCATAACTAACATATTTTTTTTTCGTCTTGATTTTGGCATCTCTTATGAAAAAGTGGTGTTTTTTTAGCAACTTATTACAACATTAAAAAGAAAACATCATATAGTAAGGTACACAATAAAAATAATACTAAATAACTTATCATTTTCATTTCTAATAACCAAAACCAGCAGTTATAATAATTAATAATAGCATTAACTGAAGAACTATTAACATTATTTCCATGATTTCTCATTTTATTTGTTAAATAACTTACTAAAATAATTTTCTATAAACCACTTAATCAACTATGAACAAAATAATAGTTACTTTTGCCTAATGAATCCGATTAAAATAAAAATTTATTTTTTCATAATGTTCATAATAATGTAACTATAAGATCATATAAATATAATTAAATAAATATCTAATGGTTCACAACAATAATTTAATAATAGGTGTTTAGCATTCATCAGGAAAAAAATCGAGACTGAAGACGATTATGAAGATAACTCCGATTATGAATGCAATGAATTTAATTATTATTCAGATAATAATAAAAATAAAACTGTAAAATTTATTTTTAAATATAATTATCATAATAAAAAAAAAAAAAATGTAAAATTCTTTAAAAATAATTTATTTTACTTTAGGAATCATATGATGAATTCAGTGATGAAAAATCTCATAACTCATTTCTAAATTTAGTAAATGACACAATGGATGAATCTGACAACATAACATAAAATAACATAATATAAAACAATTTAAATATACATTTTAGCCAATTATGTTACAGTAGAACAGAATACTTTGGATTAATTATCACATGAAAAATGGAATTTGTAAAAGAAAATGTCTGATAATTTTATGGATATATTATTGAACAAAGACATGAGTTTCTTACAATAACTATGTTATGACAAAAAAATCAAAATAAAATAATATATAACACTGCTGGAAGTTTAATTAGAAGATACTCAATTTTATACTTTTATACTTCACCATTAGATTAAGTAAAGAATGTTAAAATATTAAATATGTTAATAAAAATTAAAATACAATTATTTTAAAATTTAGGTATACATATATATAATATTCTGGTACTCAATTGAAAATATCAAGCAAATTATCTTCTTATAAATGTAATATGATTTATACTTCAAAAAAAGAGGTGATTCAAAGTAGAGAAATAAAATTATACTCTAAAGAGATTATTATAAATCAACCATTATTTTGTTATTTAATAACAATTTTATTTTTAAAATTATTTTGAATGTTTTACATTAGTACCCTAATAACAATAAAATGTAATAATTTATTTATATATTAATATTAAATATTAACTCAACTAATATTATGAATAGAACCTGCAACCAGTGCCGGATTTAAGAAATTTGATGCCTAGGGCTAATAAAAATGTAGCTCGGTTACATAGGTGGAAATAAGGGGTATGTTCGTTGCTTTTTTTATTTTTCATACAATTAAGAGCGTCCTTATACCAACAGCATCTGGAGTAACCATACCTACTTACCCCCTTCCCCTAAATCTGGCACTGCATGTAGCACTTAAAAAATAATTAACTCATGATCTATAAGATTACAATTTTTACAATTTTTTTTTTTTTATTAACTTAAATATTTAATTTATTGAGATTAATCTGTTGTGGTAAGTAAATGGTAACTGTATTGAACATGAAATATGCATTTTTATTTAATGACATGGCACTGTTGAAACTAGCGAGATGTGGTATTACAATTTTTAAGCATATACATATTACAATTAAAAAAGTAACAGTTTAGACAAAATTAATTAAATTCTCTTTAAAAAAAAAAAATTGAGTTTCCAATGAGAATTGTGACCTTTTACAAAACCAGCAACCTAACTCAAATACTGAAATTATGTACATTATTTTATCTATCTATTTATATATATTTATTTATTTTAGTACAAGTATTATAATGAGTAATTTTTATCATCATAAACTATTTATTATTATTATTCACTGAATATTTTCATCTTTTGTTTTTCCTATTTCTTCTATTAGATCCTTCCCACCTTCTATTGTTAATTCACTATTTAACGATTACATTTTAGCCCACTATCCTAACTCTTGTCAAGTTTTCATGGACGGATCCATTGCCAAATTCTCCACAGGCTACTCTTTTATCATTCCTAGCCTTTCTATCAAGTTCTCCAATAATGCTCCCTTATCTGCCTCATGTTTTACAACAGAGTGCCTTGCTATATTTGTAGCTCTGCATACCATTAAAACCTTAAATGCACGCCACTTTGTCATTGTTTCAGATTCCCAGTCTTGCATCATGGCTTTAAATACCTCTCCTCTTGTCTCACCCGTTTCCTATCTTATTCTCCAAATTCGTTCGATCATCCTCTCCCTTTCCTGCCTTGGGTATACTATCGACCTTTTATGGGTTCCCAGTCATACCGGTATTTTAGGCAACAAAATCGCAGACGCTCTTGCAACTTCATGCTATTACAATGTCCCTACTCCGATTTTACACCCAATCTCATGGCACACACTTTGAGATTGTGGAATCGGAAATGGTCAAACCTACCTCAACCTTCGCTGTTTCTTATCGCCTAGTCTGTTCTCACATCCTACAATTTTCCTGGTTTCAGGGATTTATAATCGCTGAAGCAAATATTATAATAAGCCTCTTAAATAAAAAAAAAAACTGAATATTTTTATAAATTACATAAAATAATCTACTAATACAATAGCAATTAAATATAAATTTTTTTAATTATATTGTCCACAAGACGCAGTAATTGCCCCAATGCTCTTCAATCTTTACATCCCAGACCAGCCTACTTCACCCTATACTATAGTTGGTGACTTAGCTGACGACAAAGCCATATTAACAACCAACTCAGATCCTATCCTAGCTTCCTCTTACATACAATATCATCTAAACACTCTTGAATCGTGGTACAAAACTTGGGGAGTAAAAATGAATAAAGCTAAATCTATTCACGGTACCTTTGCACTTCGTCATGGCATATGTCCAATACTTTTCCTCAATAACCAACCGCTCCCTCCTGCTCAGTGTGTACGATACCTCGGCATCCTTATTGACCGCCACCTCACCTGGAAACCTCACATAATTAGTAAAACCCGTACACTCAATGCCCGCTTCCGTCTCTTTCGACCATTTCTAACATCTAAGCATATGAAACTCTCCAATAAGCTCCTGCTTAGGACCATCTGAACCTATGGGATCCAATTATAGGGCACCTTCAAAATTTCCAACATCAACTGCGTCCAAAGATTCCAATCAAAAACTCTACGTACAATTCTAAAAGCGCCATTCTTTGTCTCTAATCACACTCTCCACTCTGACCTTTAAATTCCGTATGTTTCTGAACTATTATAATGCGAAAACACATTATAAACGTTTCAATAGCGGCTTAGCCCAGCATGCAAATCCCTTAATCTGCGACCTATCATCTACTTCTATCCCAGGTAATCCAATTAAAAGATTAAAAATACGGTGGTGTCGTGACCTGCTAGTCTAAATAAATCTTATTCATGTCGTAGTACCTCCAATGGGAGGCCTCTACAATTTGTTTAATCTGTCATTTTATTTTTATTTTAGCTTATTCTATATCATCAATTATTTTTATTGTTCTCTTTGAAACAGATTAAATAAAACATAATATAAACCAAAAAAAAAAAATTATATTGTACCCTAGACAACTGATATATTTTCCTTCAGAAAAAATATTTAAAAAAAATGAATTCATAATATCTACTTATCTAAATAAAAACCTAAAAAAAAAACTGAATTCATTATAATTGAAAGGTCGATGATGAATAACATGCTATGTAACATTTTTTCGGATTTAATTTTTTTTGTCAACCACGAAAATCTTATAAAAAAATTTCTTGAACATATCATAAATATAAATATATTTTTGTTAAACTTAAGAACATGCATTCTAAATAATATTTATTAGAAATTATAATAGGCACATTTTTTGTTTTTATTTGTTCCTGTAGAATTTACGTAATATGTTATTCGCACCGACCAATCAGTTATAAATTAAATAAAATCTATCAAAATCGTGCTATGGTAATGAAATATAAATACGAAATTGAAACAACAATTATATTTTATGTAAGTAGTAAAATTATTATATCAAAAACTCCTGGTCACTTTTTAAACAAAAATAATGAAAAAATTAGTAAAGAACACTTTTGAAATATTATTTAATGTTTTAATCTAAAGTTAAACTTAAAAGTATACACCTCACAATAAAAACTAGGTATGGCAAAAAAATTAAATTATTAACTACTTAAAATAATCTAATGGAGAGAAAACTTAATATTTGTCTCAATAGTGAAACTATCTTGGATAAACTTGCGGAGAAAATATTTTTATCTAATATTCATATACTGAAACACAGTTAAAAGTACTTTTACTCGAATAGGTAAGATTAAAGGGTTCGTATTTTAAAAACGAAATTAATAATATAATATTTATATTGTTACTGACTTACATAAATGTAGGTCCTTACGACTCTCATTACATAGCAGGATCACATAAATCTTAAGTAGAAGAAATCGAGTGAACGATATAGAAAGGAATAATTAAGACCAGAGGGTAACACAAACACATACTATATATGAGCTGCAAGGCTACACTTCAAAGTATTATAATGAATGCAATTAATAATAATGCACAACAAAATATGGGATAAGAGCGAAAGGTAAATTATCGAGGTCAATCATTAAAATAACAAATCTAGCAATTCTTTTTAACAATAATTGGAAATAACTTATTCCATAGAGATGTGCGGCTGATTCCACGAAACCTCAGTGATTAGCACCTCAGGGTAGTAACAATAATTGGGAACAACCTTTTTCCATAGTGTTACGCGACCAATTCCCACGATATCTGAGTATATAAGGGGATTAGGAATAGACCAATATTCACACGTGTTTTAGTCCTACTCTACACTGCGTTCAGTGAGAAAACGCAACTGGGCGTCGACCAAAATCCGTCAATTTTTGCGCATTCCCACCACTTTAACAGCCCGAGCGTCTCGCTTGACGACCACTATCAATAGTGTTTACACCGGTCGCCGAGTGGTGGGGGAATTTCACATGCGCGAAGTAGTTGCGTTCTTTCACTGGACGGTCTATAGCAAGCATCTTCACGCCAGTTTGTCAATTTAATTAAATACTTGTAATTACTAAATATTTCAATAAACAGTATAACTTAGTTTGAGTACTTTTATTGGAATTATCCCAACAAACATCCTCATATGAACTGTTGAATTGACTACACGCAACAATATGTATGATTTAATGACCAATTTGAATGAAAAAATAAATGAGGCTGGTGTGTGTACTGTAACTGTGGATGAAGATTAAAGTCATACCCAGTTACGTATTTACGGGGGAGGATATGGATGATCCTCCCTCGGCCTTTTTTTTATTTTTCAGACTAGGAATAAATTGCAGTACAATTATTTGTAATTTTGTTAACCTAAAGACTTTGAGTGACATTACACAATAATAACAATAAAAATTAAAATAGAACCATATCCAGGCGAAGCCTGGTAAAACCCGCTAATACTAGGGAATAAAGATAGCTCGTTTCTTTATATTGTACAGTATACAATATGCAGTGCACGAAACTATTTGCAACGAAGACGCATTTACATGGTGGCAATAAACTTTGACAGTCATTGTCAAGGAACAGGCACGGTGTAAATCATAAATTTAAATCGGCAACAAAACAAAGAGACAACTAACATACTAATTATTATAAACATTTCATATAGGTACATATTTGATAGTTGAGTCGTTCAGTACCACGCAGAATTCCAGTAATTTGATTAGGGAACTATTATCGAATTCGGGGAAAATAATAAAGAGCTATAGAGATTTCTCTGAATAACCACTAGGTATTAACAGAAATGCTGCCTCGACAACCGTCATAATTATAAGGCCGGGTCTATTATACATGGCATATTCTGTATAATTTTGAATTTGACGGGAAATGCGGAAAACCCAGCGTTCGAAACGCGGCGGAATACCCTGTGTATAGTCCCGGCTTAACATCATAAATTTCATCATTTTCATTGAATGTCGACGAAAATATAATATTTAAGTATTAACAAAAACAATAGTTAATCTACTGATATTATATCGATCACGGATATATAGCGATATTATAACGTCACGAATTGGGGACAGTTGTCCGAAAAATGATAAGGACCGGAATTGAAAGACGGCGGCATAAAATGTGTTGCCAACATAAAATTTCTAAAAATTATATTATAAAATTATTTTTTTGTTTAAGAAGTTATACTGTTTCATTTCAATGATTATTATATTTTTTGTTACATTTAAAATAAACATAAGTATCAATTAAATGAAATAACTCTAAATTTTTGAATACTTGTTTATCAGTACATAAAACTAAAACATGTAATATTTTATACTATTTACATACTAGTACATAGAAAAATTATGAAAAACATATATATTTTACGAAAGTTAAAATTTTGGTCCATTTTTATTAAAAATATACAAACAAAAAAGTAAAAAAAAGAATAAAAAGTTTTGTTAAAAATATACAAACAAAAAAGGTAAAAGAATTAAAATTTTTGTTGAAAACAGTATAACCTATTAGTATTTTTCCTGCTATGAAACTGTGAATATCGTATAACTTTTATTAATATAAATTATATAATTGGATTTGGTAATTTTTGATTTAGTCAGTTGATACTATTTTTTCAAATTTCGGACCTTATAATTTTTCGGACAAATGCCAATCATTACTACCTCCAACTCTAAAAACCATAGATAATAAATGAGTGAATAGGACATAAACCCAAATAGTTGATTCTCAAATGATAACAAACTGAGGCGATTTTTTCTCCCTTCCATGACACAAATATTTTTTTCCATTCTTTAAAAATTTAAATTTAACTGAGGTGATTTGAAATTAATGAACATAAATGAATAAACCATTTGGATAACATTTTATATACAATTTAATTATAACATGATAAATTTAAAATTAAGTTTTAACAGCATTTTTAAAAAAAAGTTGTAGTTTATTCATACTTAAAATGTATAAGTTTTGTGAATTTTGAACAAATTGTGATGTTATCATTCACTTTCCTGATCTCGTGAAAAAATCGTACTTTGTAGTAAGTTTTACAAATGGTAGTAATAAGTTCATCACAATGTTTATTGGATTGAATTGTTTTGTCAAACAACACATTTGATTCATTGTTGACACATTGCATGTTTTCAAAAATTGAAAATTTGTTTTAACTTTGATTACTAAAAAGTTCATACATTTTTTTTATTCATAAAATAATTTATATATTTTCTGAAAATTGTTTCTGTTTATAAGCATATAGTCAATACTAACTTTTCTAAGTCCTCCATGATCTTTTTGTACAAATTAATACTTTAAAGTAAACTGTCCTTCTAATACTTAAGTCACAGATTTACAAACAATATACTCAGTACTTAAGTAGACAGTAAATTATAAAACTGTAACGGGCAACGGTAGTCGGCAAATAGATAATGTAAATAATTGATAACATAAATATTGATAATTCGCCTCAGTTGGCCGCCATTCTGGGAACCTCGCCTCACATGAGATTAGTATGGGCATGTCCTCTCCATTAATTTATTATCTATGCTAAAAACTTAAATAGATAAAATCATTTGACACTTTTGAAGTTAATTAAAAATATTAATTATTATATTATACGTATTACATTTTTACGTGTTTTGTTTTACCATAAAATACGATGGGAAACAATAAAAAAAAAAAATATCGAGAAAACTATATATAATTAATAAAATGAAAACTATATCCCACATGCGGTATTACAATGGTAAAAATTAAAGGTAAATCGAATTTAACTCTTAAGTTTTAGTCTTTACTAAAAAAGTAATCGATGATAAATTCGTCAATTTTAAAATAAATATTATTTTTAATCGTCGCGCACGTCATTCCGGATTTTTGCATACGTAGCAAATAATTGAACCGCATCGTGCAGTATTATTACTTATTTACATATAATTCATTTTTTTGAAATAAATAAATATGAATTATATAATTGAATAAGCTGTATTAAAATTACTTAAAAAAAACTAAGCAGTAATAATTTATCATCATGATTTACAAAGAATAAAAAAGCACGCACAGATTCTTATGAAAATTATGAGGTAAGTTTGATTTATTAAATTTTAAATACATTGTTATATTTTTTAAATTTTTTAGATTATATGTAACAAATTTCACATAATTAGATATTGCACGTAAAACATGTTGTTTAATACATTTTAATTAATAATTAAGGCTGATTTTGGTTTTGGAAGTAAAAATAAAAAAAAAACACTAAGCAGTGCCAAAAATGATACTGGAATCATAGTGAATAGTGTAGTATTGACAGATGCTGATAAAAAGCTTGAATGTTCATTCTTGAAACAAATTTACATTAGTACTAGAACTGTAATTATTTAAATATATTTTGAGTTTTTACTAATACACTACATTTTATCTTGTTTAGTTGTTTACTAATTTGTGGGTACCAGATGATAATTACAAATTCTCACTGCTCGAAAAAAATCAGGAACTTGGATTATGCTTTTAACATAAATTACTAAAATAATTCAATTGGCGGGTATATTTAAACATAAAAAATGGTACTTTTTGTAAATACTGTGTTTTGTCTGCCAGAAATCGTAGGATTGGAAGTCAACCTTTAGGGAATCTTGTAATTGTCGTATTTACTAATTGGAAGAAAGTAAAAGAGGCTTATACATTTATACTTAATATCTAAAATTTACTTTTTTATTTTATGTTTTAAATATAATTATCTTAGACATATAGAACTCATTCCAATTTAAAATATCATACTTCTTACTAGATTATTACTAGTTAATTTTACAAGAATACAGTTTTTGAAAATAATGGGAAAAATGGAATTTTCTATAATCAAACTTATAGATAAAAATAGGTTATTTAAAATAGTAGTATTATTTAATAATTACACCTGTTCAAATTATATACATTTATTTTATTTTAATTTTGTTTTATTCATATAATGTTATTTTACAATACTGCAAATTGAAAAAAAAAATAAAAATAATTAAACCAATTGTTGAATGCATTATATAATGTGTTAAAAAAAAATTGGTTTTATGAGGTAGTAAAGATTTTGGTACAATTAATGTTGATGGCAAATATATATGTTGAGCAAAGTAATTATTTAGTAATTAGCACTTATACTATTTTGAATTTTCAGATGATACAAGACAAGTTCATTTTTGTGCCTTATTGAAGTATGGAACTAAAGGAGATAACTTTCTGCTTACTGTTCTGGTAGATCCAGATAAACGTAATAAGTGCATAAGTCAAGTCATTAAAAACAAAATAATCCAGTTGTGTAATACAATATTACAACAAAAAATAATAAATAAATTTAACAAATTAAAATGTTTCTTGGTTTTTGGTGTAGAAACAACGGATATATCAATAAAAGAGCAGTTCTCTATATGTGTCCATTATATTGATGAAAAAAATATTCTATATGATGACTTTTTAGTTTTTTTTACATTCAAAGTTTGACTGGTGATGCCTTGGCAAACTCTATAATAAATGATAGTTTTTTAGGCTTAAATAGTTGTACTCTAGATTGTAATTATTTATATGGCCAGGGCTATGATAGAGCCAGTAATATTGCTGGCCAATTTAAAGGAGTACAAACACTCATAGGGTCTATGTATCCCAAAGTTTTGTATGTTCACTGTGCTGTACATTCGTTGAATTTGGTAGTTACAACAGCAAGTGAAATAAAACGTATCAAAAATTGTTAAGGATTAATTGAAAAAGCATACAAGTTATCAACACCCCTAAAATAAATTCTGTTGAAATTTTTAATTGAAAATTCTGAAAATGAACCTAGCACTTAACAACTTAAACGCTGGATTCAACGCTACAATTTAGTAAATGATTTATCAGAGCTATTCTATTTGTTCTTTCAGTATTTGAAACTATTTCTGATTGGAAACATCCAACTAAGGCTCACGTGATAAAGAGGTCAATGAAAGATACTAAGTTTATAATTTCTTTCAATATTGTTAAAGTGTATTTAATTTAAAATACAAGTGGGACAGGGGTATATTTTAGGGGGAGCGAAGGGGTGGTTGCCCCCCTGAATCTGTATTTAAGGAATCGATTATATGAGAGAAGTACATTTCAAATACTTTTTAATGTGTATCGTTTTATAACAAAATCGAATTAGTTAATCATTTTGATTTTCTACAAAAAATGTTTTTCATAAAATATGAATGAGGGATAAGAAAAATTACAGAAAAACATATTAAAATATAATAATTCAAGGTGAATGGACGCATATGATGATGTATATATTATTATGTTGTATCAGTATCAATGATCAGTGTTAACATCACGGTCAATTTTGAATGTAATAAATTGGGTTTTACTCAGTGTAAAATCAAATAAAACACAAGCGTAACTTACAAAATACAGACAGATGTTAAAGAAGAACTACACAAAAGTCGATTGTAAATGGACCGGCATTAGGTTATAAAAAAAAAAAACCACAAATGTTAAGGAATCGCCTGATTTAAATATTACTAAAAATTTTACTTGTAAATTTTGAGCCTCAATTAAAGAAAAAAATTCAGTTGCTCCCCCCCCCTAGAAGTAAGTCTAAATACGACCCTGAAGTGGGAAATATTAAAACATCCACCATGTAGGCCTGATCTGGTACCTTCAGATATTTTTTGTTTGGGTCCATTAAAAAAAATACAGGAAAAAATTTATTTTCAAAAGGAGGAGGAAGTCATGAACATAGTTATTGAATAGTTTGATGGAAAATGTGCTGCATATTTCAGAGACGGCAATTTTAAGTTATTCCGTCGTTGAAAAAATGCAAAAATTTGAATGGTGACTATGTAGACGAATAGTAAAATATATCTTACTTATCATGTAAAAGTTCTAAAGTAATAAATTAATTTTTTATTGTTTAGTATACTTTGTACCTTATTTATCAGATAGCCTACATACATTATAAAAAATAGCAGATACTATTGGTATTGAATTGGGAAAAAAAAAAGAACATCGAAACACAAACTCGAAGAGCTAATCCAATTCTTCAAGAAGACTCAATTGAACAATAATATTGCATCATAGTGTTTTTACCATATGTTGATTACTTTATTTCTCTATTTACTGAACAATTTATAAACCATAAAACTATTTTTGAAGGTATTTATATTTTTAGTTATATATACTTTATATTAACTATATAAGTATAAATTAAATAAATAATTAAAAACTGCATTATAATAATAAAACATTAAATTTTCATACAAATTAACTCAGATGTATTATTTTAAACTGCATGCCTATTTAATTGATATAACATTTACTGTTTTTGTATTTGATTGTATTTTTAAAACCTAAAAATTTTCGATTAAATTGAAGGATAGAGAAAAATTTACTAAACTTATAGACTTTTATTTACTTGTAATAGACTTATGCTCTAGTTTCACTGAATGAAATATGTAGAGAACAAAGGTAGTTACAGAACACATAGTTTTCAGGTCAGGACTACAGACACATTTGTGATGAAGTTCTATCCATTTATATTTATAAATATGTTATTAAAAATCTTTTGTGCACTACCAGTGTCAACAACTACTCCTGAACAATTATTTTCTAGTTTAATAAGAATAAAGTTATACCTACCTCAGGAATAGTATGAAGGAGGTAAATGGTTTGTTATTTTTTTTTCAATTTTCAATAAAAATATTTATACTAACTATTTAAAAATGTGTGTTTTGTGGTTACAGACAAGACTTAATGGGTACGCTTTGCTGTCTTGTCACAGAAAAGTCAAAATTACAACAAATGAAATAATAAATGAGTTGTATATGGAAAAGAGAAAACTAGAATTTATTTTATAAATTAAAAAAGCAGAGCAAAATAAAATTCAATTTTATTATTATTGTTATTCAATTTCTTATGTTAAGTAATACGTTACAACAGAACTAAAAAAAATTTCAAATACCCCTCCTCGAAAAAAAATTCTATAACTGTCCCCTAGTATTAGGTATGTCATCCTGTTGATTTTCAGTTAAGTAAATTTTAGTCACCAGATATGATTTTTCATAATTTTAAATATATTAAATTGTATCAATAATAAATCGTGTAAAACCAAACATTAGAATAACTTTTTTCAAACACATGCAGGTATAAGACACTGTTCACTACAGTTAATAGTTGCATACTTACTCAACAGATATCATTTGCCGTATATTAATGATCTAACAGATGGACAAGACAAATAATCAGATCCGAGTTGTTTATGTGTGTCCTAGTTAAGGATACACTTAAGGTATATTTATAATAGTGAACTGCAACTTCTCCTCTATTATACTTTATGTATTACATCTGTGCCATGACCTCTGCTACGAAGAGATTGCGGAAAACGAAGAAAATTTCATTGGGTATTAATTTATTGCACGCGAACAACAATAATGATAAAATAAAAAAAGGGTATTGTCTTATCACGAACTAATGTGTTATACCGACTGTAATAAATGATAGTATTCCGGCGCCTCAAAAATAATACATTGTTGATGCTATCTCGCTGGTCGTTGCAACATGCCTACCAACAAAATTGCTAGCTCCTATGAATGAGTGGTGCGGTTTTTCGGCAATTTTAATGAATAGAACAAGGGATCCATTGTATTGTTGCTCTGATCGTTTTGATAAAATTTTCCGCTTGGGAATAATAGTCCATGGTACTGACCATCCGCGCTCGGCGTAAACGAAGTCGCTCGATCCATCATGACAAGAATCTGAATCTCTTTGGGTCTTAGATATTTTCACAGATTATTCTTCAACCCTTCATTTTATAACTATTTTTGTTTAATTTGTCACCTATGCTTGAGAAAAGAAATAATATGGTTAAAATCTAATATCTATATCTTACAAATATTTTCCCACTAACTCAGTGGCGTACGTACGGGGGAATTTCCGGGTTCAAAGCCCCCTCAGGACTAAAAAAAAAAAAGAAAATTGTTTTATTATTGATGACGTGTAATATATTCGTAGTTTCATTATTACGCTTTAAGCTTAAAATATACAACTATACAAATATAATGATAGTTAAATAATTATATTGATAAGTGTTTGAAAAGTTATGTTAACTATGCTGTTTTTATGCTGACCTGCAAAATATTTTTACTAATATAAATAAAATATTATGGGACAAATATGGAATGCGATTAAATAAAAAAAAAGACAAAGGTTATGATGTGCAGCAAGACAAACCCTATTCAGCATATAGATAACGCACGCATAGAACAAGTGCATTACTTTAATTACTTAGGAAGTAAAATAACGGAAGATGGCCAATTTAAAGATGAAATTCTAAATAAAATAGCACAAGCCAAGAGGGCTTTCCAGAAAAAAAACACCTATTAACCACCAATAGTGTGACTTTAGAGGTAAGGAAAAGGTTCTTAAAAATATATATATATATATATATGGAGCGTTACCTTATATGGCTGTGAAATTTGGACAATCAGTGCAATAGAAAAAAGAAAATAGAGGCCATCGAATGTGGTGTTATCGTAAAATGTTAAGAATTAAATGAATTGATATAATAACGAATGAAGCCAGTGACGTATCAATGGGGGGGGGGAGGGTCAGAACCTGAGATGGTAAATTAACTTTTACACGAAACACAATTTTTTCTTTAACATTTTTATATTTTAGAATTTTGACTTAGAAATCATATTAATAGTTTGTATAAAGGCTATAAACGTATTATAAACACACGCTGCACACACACACATAAGTCATAGTATTATGATCATATTTGGATACTTTACTACTTTACTTTGATAATTTTTGTTTGGGAACATATTATTTAGGTTTTCTACAACAGTTAATTCTAAATCTGTCATATGGTCCTGATAACTGAGATAAAAGCGATACCATTGTCTGTATTCAACGTTTATTTTAGGTATACCTAACTATTACATTCGCAGCTCGCCAATCATTTAACACAAGCACGTTATTGTGTAAAACTAATAGTAATTAGTTAATAGTTGGTCGTTGCTCGTTGGTATCTCACTGTTTTACTTACTACTCATTTATTCGTTTATATTTGACATTTGTATTCCATTATATTTGTTTTATTTTAATTTGACATCATTCTAAGATGTCTAAACATTCCATAATGATAAAATATTTTTAAAACTAAACTAATTTTAGTATGATAAAAAATGTATATCACCTTAAAATTGTTTGGGCCCCTTTCACTTGGTTACTCGAGAGGGCCCCGAGACTACCGCCCCGACTAGACCCCTCTTAATCCGTTCTTGAGTTTATAAAGCAAATCATAATTGACATAGAGAAGAATAGTTATAAACAATTAAAGGAATTGAGTAAAGATAGAGACGCATGGAGAACTGCAACAAAATAATCTAAAAGCCTTCACACACGCTAGTTTTTTTGCCAGAACTCTGATGAAAGAGCTGGTTAAAAACTGTCACACACTTTACACGTACATAAATATATGTCACTTCTTTTTTTTTGACAATTGCGTTGCTAGAGAACTCTGGTAATGTACTCTGTCCTAAACTCTGCAACGTGTTTACACCTGAAATTTTTTTTGTTTATCTATCTATTGTTGTACTAAGCACTAGTGATAATGACTACTGATGATTATATAATTTTCTCTATATATTAAAAAAATATATATAAAGTATATATTTAATAAAAATAGTCCGTGAACAATAAATACCATGTCTGTTCAAACCAGAACAGCAGTTGCAATTGTTGTTTATTAATTATTAGATGAAGAACAAAATAAAAGGAAAAATAAACAAGGTGAGTGAACAAAAAAGTTTTTTTAAAAAGGCCAAAATGTGAATTTTATGAAAAAATTAATTTAGAATTAAAAAGTGCTGAATTTGCAATGTACAAAATTTTTTGACGTATGTCATCATATGATTATGATTATTTTTTGAGTATTGATAGTCCATTTATTGCAAAACAAAATACATGTATGAGATATGCTATTTCTGCTGAGGAACGTTTAGCAATAACCTTGCGTTATTTAGCATCTGGTAAGATTTTTAGTTTTTAAATACCTTTTTATTTATCTGTTTAATAAAATTTTTTATTAAACAGAGTTAAGTAATTTAGTTAAAAGTATTTAAATATTGGTATTCAAGTTAATTATAATTTATATAATGTATAATAATTTTTTTTTATTTTAAAAATTATTCTTCGTACAACTTTTTATATTATATTAAATCATAAAATTGATATAACTCTGATTATTTATTCATAAATATATAAAAAGCAATATATTTTTATTAGCAATAATTTTTATCAAATTACAGGTGATACTTATCAGTCACTCATGTATTTATTCAGTTTCACGATATCCCTCCAACGATGCATTCCATAGAATTGGATTATCTTCATAAAGTGATATTAATTCATTAATATCATGTTTTGATCATGGTCCATAAATTAATCGAGCTTTACGAGCTTTTTTGTCTTTTACAAAAAACAAATCTTTTTTTTTCGTCGGACTCCATTTTTATTCTATAATATTTTGAAAATAAATATTGACTAGAAAACTAGGTAGTAGATATAGACATATTAATATAAACATATCAAACACAATACGTATATATTAATATGTCTATGGTAATAGATGCTTTTTTTATGTAATATCAAACTATCAGTTATCATGTATGAGTGAAACTATGTTCTAGAGTTATAAATATGGTAAGCCGACAACCACATTGACAGCGATAGCAACCAAATTAACCAGATAAGATTTCGAGGCAATTACACGGTAGATAAATTACTCTGACACTAGAGTTCGCCAGAGCACAAAATTCCACTCTGGAAGTAACTCTAATTGCAGCAAACAAATTATGTCCCAAGATTCCTTTTTCATACGAATTGTGTTCCGATAATATTTGACAACTATATTAATTGCGTCCCGATAATATTTAACAACTATACTAACTGCGTCTGATGTAAATACATTAGTTTCCTTCTCATTTGATACACACTTAGGACTGTTAACAGCAATATTAAATATTATATTGTTAAAGGTATGTTAAAAATATTGTTTTCTAAATATAAAAATAAAAGAATAACTAAAAAAAAGTTTCAAAAAATATAAGTTATATGTAGGTATGTAAGTTATATATAGGTATTTTATTATAATATTATTTATGTACTCTTCTTACTTCAGCGATATTCTTTTAATTTCTTTCAAGTGAAATTCCTACAGATTTAGTCGATAGTACTGTGTGATTAATTTAGTAACTCAACGTGGCATAAGTATTAAGTATAATATATGAATTACTTATTTTATAAGTAATTTGGCTAACATTTTATTTGACCAATTTCTATTCAAATAATTTTTATTCGACTGATTTATATTAGACTAGTATTCATTCGATTAACCTTTAACTAAATGTTCCTTCTTTTTAATCATTTTGGTATTAATAAAAATTGTAACTAACTTTAGCATGAACTTTATTAAAAATATAGAATAGGTAAGTACATAAAATATAGATTTTATATTAAAATTATATATCAAAAACTGATTAAAACAGTTGAATGATAACTAGGGTCCGGATTTTTTATGCATTTACATATTTGTAATAAGTGTATGCAGTTCAACGGGAGTAAGAAATGTGAACGATTTGTGTAGCAGAGAATCTATAGAAAAAAGTTTATTTTGCATATAAATGCATATTTTAAGGTTGAGAGCATATTTGAAGAATTCGGCATAATAAAGCATATTTTGGTACATAATAGTTATTTTATTTATATTTCACTATTGAAACTAGATTTATGAGTTTATGAAGTATTGTGGGGAAATATTTAATTTGTATTAAAACCATATCTTGCTTATCGAAACACATCGATCGACAACAATGAAGACCAGTTATATATAAATTTCCTTCATACAATTATATTTTTAGCATGATTATTATTATTATTATCGTGATTTTAAGTCTTGTATTGGATAAACACGCTGCATCGTGGCTCTTGTTGTTTTACATTTAGTTGGTATTTAATCGTCGCGCGTCGTGCTGTAGTCGCCAGTCGGTAATCGCCTATAAATATAATTTCGTAATCCGCATTCCGTATATAAACAAATTTCTTTAATAATTTTTTTTACACTCGTAAATTTTAAAATGCCGAAAAGTCGTAGTAATATTCAAATTTTAATAAAATAATGGATTGCATTGTATAATAAAACAGACCACACAATTTTTACTACGGACGGTTCTGTAGTGTTTTGTCAATTGTGTGACAAAAAAATCGTTTGCACCAAAAAATTTCAAATACAACAACACGTTGATACTGCTTTGCATAAAAGTGCTTTAAATCGTAAAGCAAATGATAACAAAAAACAATTATTTGTATTGGACGCAAAAACTAAATCTGGTAACATTTTTAACGAGGATCTTTGTTCAGCTTTGATAGTCGCTAATATACCATGGAATAAACTTCAAATTCCCGAATTCAAGAATTTTTTGGAAAA